CAAGTGGGACTTCCTGTCAGATTTGCCTCAGCCAGCAGCGGCCGTACCCTGTGCCCAAGCCATGGGGCGGATCTTTGTTTGTCTGTGGAAGCCTCTGGACACCACCATTGTCTATGAGTATCTGCCCCAGAAGGATGAATGGCTTCCCATCTCGACTCTGACTCGGCCTCAGAGTTACGGCCACTGTATGGTGTCTCACAGAGACAATCTCTACATCATGCGCAATGGGCCTTTTGATGACTTCCTGCGATGTATGATAGACCGCTTCAATCTCACCACGATGCAATGGACTTCTTTACCTGGCCAGTACATGAACAGCAAAGGAGCGCTCTTCACCGCCATCGTCAAGGGGGACACGATTTATACGGTCAACAAGATGCTGACCTTACTGTACACCATAGAGGACAGCACGTGGAAGTTCAAAAAGGAGAAAGCTGGCTTCCCAAGAAGTGGATCTCTGCAGACCTTTCTTCTCAGGTTTCCGAGAACAGATCACAGTATCGCAACGTAAAGGTGGCAACTCCATGGATTATTGGGTGGTGGCCGTCTGACATCACATCTGGACTTTACCTGGATAGTCCACTTTTTAATTGTTCCAGACTTCCTGTGATCTAACCGTTATGAGATCATGATGGTTCATGCAAAGTGAAGAACGTCTCAAGAAGGTGCTTGGGGCAAGCTTCAGCCATTGCATGAACCACCGTCTTATCTTCTTGGTACTGTAGATGGCTTTGAGGCTTTATGAATGGTGAGCAATGAACTTTTCATCTACCCGTTTGTGGCAACAAGATTATTCTGATAGGTCAGGTCTCAGTAGAGGTAGTAGATGGTTCTGACCTATAAGCAGAAAAGGCTAATAATCCATCAGAAGTCCAGGGATGCCCAGGAAAAAAATATGGAGAGAGAGAGAGACAGATAGAGAGAGAGAGAGAGAGAGAGAGAGAAAGAATGGAGGAAGGAAGGAAGGGAGGGTTTGAAGGAAAAGATGCAAGGGTGTGTGTGGGGGAGAGGGGGGGGGGGGGGTAATATGTTTGGGATAATGTTTCCTGAAATTTTGCCCAGGTTTGTTTAGTCCCATCACCTGGTAAACAGAAGCTGGCTAACACTGGCTGGGTTCAGGCAATACATTTAATTTGCTTGTTAAATTCATCCATTTTCTAGGTAGGCATAATAATGAATGAGAAATTAAACAAATAGGCTGGATTTGCACATCTCTCTAAATCATAAAAAAAAAAATGAAGCAAAAATTAACCGTTTAATATTTGGGGAGATGCAAAGTTCTCTTTTCCTGGTCTATCTGAATTTTAAGTATTTTTTTTGGCTCAAGGCGATAGCCAGGTTCATTACAACATTACGGTAGGGTACTGAGAACGCTCTGAACTGGTAACTACTCCATCTCCATCTACCACATAGTGCCAAACCTAGGGGAGATGTTGCATAGGAAATACCTTAGGATACATCATACTCACGGTGCCACTCCCTCTCCCTGAATGTTTCTTGGGCTTCAAGAAGGAACATTTCCAGATGCTGACGACGATGCTAGGGGGTTGATCCTGAGAATTTTGCCTGCCCAAAATACATTCCACCCCTGAAGGGCACTGCGAGTGAGGCCTCCACCTTGCTAAATAGGTTTTACAGAGAAGAGACCTTTCTGTTGTGGCCCGCCAATGGCCAGCGGATCTGGCAGCAGATTCGGACAGTGAGGAGGTTGGGGAGGAACATGGGCCAGTCCTGGAGTCTGGGGAGGGCTCTGCGTCGGAGGCAGAGAGGGGACCAGGGCCATATGCCAGTTGTCAGCTGCCTTCAGAGTCAGGCATCAGTGGGGCAGAAGAACATCTGGAGCCTGTTCCCAGTGTGCGCATGCACAGAGTTGCCACACGAAGGGGACAGCTAAAGAACAAGGGTCGACTTGGGAGTAAGGCCACAGGTGGATGATGAACAGCCCCTCCCAGAGGGAATAAAAGAGGAGCGAAAGGGGAGTGGAGTTTGCAGGAGACGATTAGTTCATTCCTGCATTCTTGCGAAGTATTACGAGCGTCTGAAAGATATCGGCCTGGCCACTCTCCAAGTCTGATAAAGGTCGGTAATTGTGAACTATCTTGAAAGACTTTGTTGGAGGGGAATTCACTATAAATTAAATAAAAGAGGTTTATCGGGACGAGGACTCGGCTTCGTGCTGCTGGGGAAGCCCAAGTCAGAACTCTTTCTTCCTAGACAGGCTAAACTTCTCTTGATATGTTCTCCAAACGGAAGGATGAAAGTCTTTAAAGTCGGGGAGAAAGTGCCTTCTGCAGACCACAGATCTCTCTGTCTCAGTAGAGGAAACAGCTGTTTTTCAGGCACGGGCAGGAAACTTTCCCGACTCTACCTGTGGGATTGAACCTCTGACCTTCTCCATGACCTTCTGCATCTGCTGAAAAGTGAGATGGATGAACTGCCCTGGGTTATCTCATTACTGAATTGCACCAACATTAACATCCTGCTTTGAGAGCTCAGGCATTTCAACAGGAAATGTAAAAGGTTAATTTAAAAAATAATAATAAAAAATTAAAAGTGTACCGGGAAGAAACCGGCTAAACTTTAAGGGAAGTTTGGCTGGTTTTTATTCCGTTTGAATGCAGCGTCGGACTTCAGTTCAACGTGAAGTATTTAAGTCCCATTGCTTTAGAGAGGAACAAGACTTGTCCTTCCATGGTGCTGAGGACCTCTTGCCAGATTTGTTCCTTCAGCTAGCAACCCGTTTCCTGTGGTGATATAAACAAGTCCTGTGTATGTGTTTATAGAATTTATATTCTCAGCAATTAAAGCTGAGACAGGCTATAAATAGATCCTTGGTAGGGGACTAATGGCTTCAAAATAAGTGCAGGTTGAGCCAATTTGGAGATGGGTTTTTAACAGGGTTTCTTCTTTTGCACTAAATGATTTTGTTTCGATCCGGACGGCCTGGTTTAAAAGAACGTGGCTCTAATTCTAATCAGCGTCTAATGCGAGGGCAAAAGCTGGAATCGTAGGCTAATCAGAGATAAGAGGGATCTAATCATGGCATGTGACGCTTCCATGGGAACCTTTTAAGGCAGACTTGCAGTAGAAATAGGTTTCTAGCCTAGGGGTCTGCAACCTTAAACACTCAAAGAGCCATTTGGACTCCGTTTCCCACAGAAAAGAAAACACCGGGAGCCACAAAACCCTTCCCGTGCCTGACTATTTCTTGAGCGGCCACAAAACTAGCATATGTAGTTGAATTAAAAGTTCTGTTTTCTTCTGAAACTTTTCTTTTCTTGGGTTTATCCATGGTTGGCCTACCGGGGGTTGAAAAACTCAATAAATTGCGTGCCGGCGGGTGTCACACATTGGTGGTTGTGACGCATATTTTGAGAGACAGGGAGCCGCAGCAGAGGAGTGAAAGAGCCACATGCGGCTCCAGAGCTGCAGGTTGCTGACCCCTGGTCTACCCTATCGAAGAGGCTGGTCTAGCCTTTCTGACGGTGAGAACAATGGAACAGCTTGCCTCCTGGAGCTGTGTGTGCTCCATCACTGGAGGTTTTCAAGAATAGACTGGGCAACCATTTGACCAGGATGGTGTAAGGTTTCCTGCTTTGAGCAGGGGGTTGATCTAGAAGACCTCTGAGGTCTCTTCTAACCCTGTGATTCTAAATACCAAAATTAAGTGCCCAGCGTGAGCACTGCCCAAGAAACTGGAAAAATATCGCAGTGTTGTTAAATGACTAGAGTCTCCTTATTGGTGAGATAAGTGGCATATAAATTTAATAAATAAATAAAAATCGATCAAAGCATCCCATTTCACCTACATTGGTGGAATAATTAATATCACAGGGAGAAGGCTGCACTTGTAAGAACCACATCTGGTGCTTCATCACTGGGCAGTCCCTTGTCTGAAATTGCATAGATCTCCTGCTTGAGCAGGAGGTTGGTCTAGAAGATCTCCAGGGTCCCTTCCAGCTCTATTTTAATTGGTCGTTTCAGGAAAGATTACTACTACTGTACTTACCTGAATTTATTCCTTACTTGCTTTTTTTAAAAATTTTTTTAAAATGTTAAAGTGTCAGCTTGAAATGTTTGATAAAATGTTTGATAAAGGCTCAAGATTGACTCAGCCTTCCCTCCTTCCGAGGTGGGTAAAATGAGGACCCAAAATTGTTGGGGGTAATAGGCTGACTCTGTAAACTGCTTAGAGAAGGCTGTAAAGCACTGTAAAGTGGTATATAAGTCTAAGTGCTACTGCTATTGCTATTGTAATGATGATGATGATGATGATGATGATGAAGTCATATCCAAAAAGTCATGGGAACATAAAGTGGAAAAAGTTATAGAAAATGAGAAGGTGAAGATCTTGTGGGACTTTCGAATACAGACAGATCGTCACTTGGAACACAACACGCCAGATATCACAGTTGTCGAAAACCGAAACGTACAATTTACTGACATCGCGGTACCAGGAGATGCCAGAGTCGAAGAAAAAGAACTGGAAAAAAATAATGAAATATCGTGACCTGGCCATCGAAACTACACGGCTATGGGTGAAACATGTCACAGTGATACCCATTGTCATCGGGGCACTGATGTCCAAGAATTTTACAAAACACATCAAGAAATTGCAGCTTCCTGCAATAACACCAGCGGAACTGCAAAAAACTGCGCTACTTGGAACATCGTACATCTTAAGAAGGTACTTGGTTGATACCTAGGATGCTGGCAGCAACCTGTATCAACCATTAGCACCAGTCATTGTATTTGGTATTTGTGATGCATTTTTTAATGTTCATTTGACCGAGTTTCATGTTTAATGAATAAAGTAAATAATAATAATAATAAACAAAGCCTTTCAGGCACCATATGAACCAACTAGAATCAAGTCGTTCATGCTGGCTTGTACATCCCCATGTTTATCCAGGGATAACAAGGAGCTTTAAAAAAAAAAAAAGATTAGAACAAATCACAAAGGTGAGCTTTCCAAATGGTGATTAAAGAGAATCATAAGATAAAGGTTTGAGAGAGTACAATATTTAAAGGCTTGTTTGGGAAGGGGAGGAGAGAGGCAGGGAGGGAAGGGGAGGATGCTGGGCCGTTTTCATTGGTTTTGTGTCATGAGCTCCTCCAGGGCCCTATCTCGGTGGTTTTCACACAACAGGAGGACTTCTTTGATGTCAGCTTGTTGGAAACCCATGTCGTTGAATTGGGCTAAGAGGCGAAGGAATTCTGATGCCTGCGATGGGAAGGAAGCACAGGAAGTGTGAGACCCAGGGATGAAATCCAGCAGGTTCTGACAGGTTCTGGAGAACCGGTAGCAGAAATTTTGAGTAGTTCGGAGAACCGGCAAATACCACCTCTGTCTGGCACCAGAGTGGGGTGGGAATGGAGATTTTGCAATATCCTTCCCCTGCCACCCCCACCAAGCCACGCCACGCCCACCAAGCCACGCCCACAGAACCGGTAGTTAAAAAAAAATGTATTTCACTACTGGTGAAACCACTGTGGGAATGAAGTGTGCATTTCCACGAGTGCTGTGAAACCCCCATAAGAGAGAAACCCAGTTTTATAAAATCATGAGGACTAGAGCCTTCAGGATTCTAAACAAGTCATTCATGCTGGCTTGTATGTCCCCATGCTTATCCAGGAATGGTTCAATAAAAAGGAGCTTTTTCTTATAAAAAACAACAACACAAAAATCGAATATTACACAGGAGACTGTATCTCTCCCAGAATACCAATCTGTATTGAAAGACCAGTTGCTAAATGACAACCATATTTTTTTTTTTGAGCAGGGAACTGATCTCTAACATCAGTGAACCATCAATAAGCAAACATGGAAAAGCATAAGCCACATCATGGCTAAAAGGAAGAGATGCTGGCAATTGGCTTTCAGCAAGTTGTGTTGTGTTTCCCTTCCCCTACTTCCAAATTCCTGCATTATGTTTCTAGCATTCCCTTAAAAAAAGAACCTGCTTTAAACGCGGGGACATCTCCAGACTGTTATTTCTCCAACCACCTGCAGCCTCCTTGGCTTCATTACATTTGGAAGTACCGTATTTTTCATAGACCGAATATTGCCAAAGCCGCGCTCACCCGCTAGCTGTTTTTTGGCCTCCGCATGCCCTGTTTTCAGACCTTTTTTCAGCCTTTTTCAGGCCTGTTTTTGGGCCGTTTTTGGGGCTTTTTTCGGGCCATTTTTGAGGCTTTTTCCGGGCCATTTTCGAGCCTTTTTTCAGCCCATTTTGAGGCTTTTTTTCAGGCTGTTTTTGAGGCTTTTTCCAGGCTGTATTCGAGGCTTTTTTGGGGTCGTTTTTGAGGCTTTTGGGGCCATTTTTGAGGCTTTTTTCAGCCCGTTTTGAGGCTTTTTTGACCAGATTTTTCTAAAAAAAAAAAAAAGAGCCAAAAAAAAGCCTCGAAAATGGGCCAAAAAGCCTTAAAAATGGGCCGAAAAAAGCCTTGAAAATGGGCTGAAAAAGCCTCAAAAACAGGCCAAAAAAGTCTAAAAAATGGGCCGAAAACAGGCCGAAAAAAGCCTTGAAAGGAGGCTGAAAAAAGGCTGCAAAAGGGCCAAAAAATGACCCAAAAATGGGGTGCGCAGAGGCCAAAATTTTTTTTGTTGTGGTTTTCCTCTTCTAAATTTAGGTGTGCCTTATAGTCTGAAAAATATGGTAGTTGTCCTGTAGATACTCAATCATCCAGGTCAGGGTTGTTCTCAAAGGTGTTTTGAGCCAAAAGCTAAGTGGATTTTCTTAGGTTGAAATGTTGAAAACATTTCACTTCTCATCTGAGAAGCTTCTTCAGTTCTTCTGATCTTCCTTCCTTCCTTCCCTTCCCTTCCCTTCCCTTCCCTTCCTCCCTCCTGTCTTTATTTCTCTCGCTCTCTGTTTCCTCTTCATATTAGTTTTTAATGCTCTCTATCAACTGCTAATAACATTCACACACATACAAAAAAAAAAACCCAACGCAGGTGGAGACAGCTATTTTTTCCCCTCATTCATTTGGTTAACTTTTCAACAGAAGTTGGGCTCTCACCTTTTTCTCTGAGTTCTGGAACATTTCCATGGCTTCTATAACCTGGGCCTCGTCGTAACCCTGTTTCAGAAGTCTGTCGCAGGCACTGAGATAACTGAGAAACTGTTACGGGAAAGCAGAAGACATTGAAGTGCTGTTAATTAACCGAGCACGATTTCAGCAAAAAGGCACCAATCCAACTTCCTAAACCAGGACCTTTCCCAACACAACCCCTCCCTTACTTTGTAGAACCAGTAATATGATCTGGAACCCTGGGATCATTACTTGCAAAGGGCAACCAGATGCATGCAAGCAAACTAGTGATGGCAGCCTTCCTACAGAATAGCAGACAGAGCTGGAGGTGTTGTGGCCCGTACGTGGCCTGTGCAGCTAGTAGCTGATTCGGACAGCGAGGAGGCTGGTGTGGTGCTGCGCCAGCAGCCTGTGCAGCTGGCACTCAAGACGGACAATGAGGAGTCTGGAGAAGAGTTGGTGCCAGAAGTGGGGATTCAGCCAGGGCCTTCAGAACCTCCAGAAGCTCCCATAAGTGAAGAGGATGAAGAGGAGGCGCCTCTTCTCGATGCACGGGCACGCAGAGCTGCCAAAAGGCAGGAGTGGCTCCTCAGGAGGAGGTCTCCCCGAGAGTAAGGCTTGGGGCTAATTGGCTACTCCCTTAGCCTATTTAAGGAGGAACGCCGACTGAAGCAATTTGCAGGGAACAACTTAGTTCACATACCTTCCAGTCTTGTCTTGCTTATCAGCTTCCTGCAAATTGCTTCTGGGCATTCTGCCAACCACAGTAAGCTTTCAGTATTATTCTTTGAATTCTTGGGGGCTGTTAATGCAGTTAATTAACAGCCGTTGTTGTAAAAAAACTGGTTTATTTAGTAAACTAAAGTTTGAATGGACTCTGTGTGTGCTGCGTTCTTTGGGGTCCGTAGCTGGGGCAGAACAGGAGGGAGATGAAGTTAAATGAGTCATTAGCTTAGAGTCCTTACGTTCCTAGAAATGATCTACATCCAACCCCTCTTGAATTCTGTTGACCCCTTATCTTCTGAAATGCAACTTAACTATGGTCCCGATTCCTTGTGATTGACACTTCCCAACCCAAGTAATTATATCGGTTGCATGATGAAAATAATGGGAATCACAGCCCAACATATTTGGAGAATTCCAAGCTGACCGGTTGACCAAGCTTAGGAAGTAGGTAAAAGGTGACCACGATTGCAGCCATAGGAAAGCAGATTCCAGTTGAATTAAGAACAAACTTCCCGAGTCTAAAAGCAGTTGAAGCATTGACCTGGGGGAATGGTAAGGTCCCCTTTTCTGCCTGCGTATCTTTTTAAGATTATTTGAATTCCGATTCTTCCAATAAGCAGAATTCTCCTCCATTATAGTTTCGTTTCAATTACAATGTCATCAAAATTCCTCACTTTCCAGAAATCTGCTTCATGGCAGCGTCACTTCCCTTGGGATATTTTTTATGAATACAAAATGAGAAAGGGAGAACTAGATGGGCTGCGCTGAGCTCTTCTCAAGAAAATGTGGGGTAACCACTTTCTCTGCAAAATAAATTCTCTTCCACTGGTGCACATAGAAGGTTTTTTCTTTTAAAAAAAAGGGAATTGTCTTTTTAAGACTAACTCTGAAAAGGTGAGACTGCATTCAAAGCCACCACTGTGGAGAAAGAAGAGTCCATCATGTGGCAATCAAGAATTTGGGGAGCACAGATGCAGAACCCCCTATGTCACACTCAACAGCTCTTTTCTAGTGTCACTAGTGATCACTTTCACATTTTAAAAATATTTCTGATTAGTTCCTATGCAACAGTGCTGGAGTCTATATGTATTGTAGGATCCTTGGTGCTCTATAAGCTTGGTGTCTTCCCTTGCAGATATTTTATTACCAAACTAGATAATATCATCACTACTAGAAGGGGATTGAGGTTTGCTGTCTATTTTAGCACTGATGATATTACCTAGTTTGGTAATTAAATGTCTGCAAAAAAAAAAAAGGTTCAGAGAGCACCAAGGACCCCACAATTCAACCTCGTGCTACAAATCTTCTCTTCTATTCAGTGGTGAAATTCAGCTGGTTCTATCTGGTTCGAGTGAACTGGTAGCGCCGGCGGTGGGAGGCTCTACTCACCCACCCCCATGTCATCATCAAGTCCTGTTTTTGACCCTCTGCGCATGCGCGGAGGAGGCGCGCTCACATTTGTGAAACGGTAGCGAAGGTAAGTGGATTTCACCCATGCTTCTATTGTATATAGAATGTACCGTATTTTTCGGAGTATAAGATGCACCTTTCCCCCCCTTAAAAGGGGATGAAAATTTAGGTGCATCTTATACACCGAATATAGCCCCGCTCACCCACTGGCCCCCACCCTTTGGCCTCTGCCTCGTAGCAGTTACCTCCTTGCAAGCAAACAGCAAGTAGAAACAGCTCCTTTCAGCTTCAGCACAGCCTAATTAGCACAAGTTGATTGGATCGGCCTCCCCACTCTCAGCTGATTTGTTCTCAGCTGTTTTGCGCAGGGCTCGGCTGCTTGCTGCAAGGAGGTAAATTGCTGGAGCAGATTTTTTTTTTCCTTGTGCTAATCAAGCTATGCTGAAAATGAAAATGAAAGTAAAGCAGGCTGTTTGCTGTTTGCTGCAACGAGGCAAAATTGCTCAGAGGCAGAGGGAGATTTCTTTTTCTTCTTTTCATCACCAAAAAAGGTAGGCGCGTCCTATACTCCGGTGCGTCTTATACTCTGAAAAATACGGTATATAGAATGTATATTATGTATATAAAACACGTCTTTCCTCTTTTTTTTTTGGCCTTCAAGACTGTGTGGACTGCTTGGCTATGCCCTACGGTTTTGTTGGCAATCATTTTGGGAGTGAGTTGCCCTTGGCTTCTTCCTCGGATTAAGAGAATAACTTGAAACAAGATTTAGAGCAAGAGTTCATGCATACCATTGCAACGGTCAACTAATAAATTTCTTTCTAGACTTTAAGGTGTTATCAGTCTCTTTCATCTTGTTTTAGCAGGAAAAAAAAAACCATGAAGTGCATTATATCTTTGAAATTCCTGTGTTTCCCCGAAAATAAGACCCTGTCTTATATTTTTTTGAACCCTGAAATAAGCGCTTGGCTTTATTGCCATGCTCTCAAAAACCCGATTGGGCTTATTATCAGGGGATGTCTTATTTTGGGGGGAAAACAGGGTATTATATATCTTGAATGCAGAATATCCGAACAGGCAGAATCAGGGTTATACAATTCACGGCTGGCAATGGGAGAAAAAATTTCTAAGCCTTGAATTTCTGAAGCAAAGCTCCAGGATTTCACCATCGGGGGTCATGTAAAGTAAACATTTGGCCTTTGTGTAAAATTTTAACAGGTGGGGGTGGGGGAAAACTAAAGCAACCATAGGAAGATGCATGCAGAAGCTTTCTAATACAACTTTTAGTGGTCCAGTTGTATCACAATAGCTGAAAGAGCTTGGCTATTCATACATTACAGGCTGTGCTCATCTGTCAAATTAATCTTCAGTTGTTGAATAAGCCATGTTTGGCAAGGTTCACCCACATGGACTAAGGTCTAAAATATGTCTACTGAAGTGTGGGGAATCTGAAGACTGGCATATTTGCAGATATAAATCTAATCACTGCTTCCTGTAATGCACATGCAAAATCTTTACAGATTTTGTCCAGTTTTTCAGGGCGAAGATCTTGGAGAAAGCTAAGGCTGTTTGTCTATGGAGATTCTCAGTCATCCAGGTCATGGTTGTCCCAAAGGTGCTTTTTCAAGAGGCAACTGGACTTTCTGGTTTTTCCTTGAAGACGTTTCGCTTCTCATCCAAGAAGCTTCTTCAGCTCTGACTGGATGATGGGGAACAGAAGGGTTTATACTCCTTACAGACAGCTGGTCAAATCTTCAAGTGTCCTCAATGACTTTCTAAAAAGGATGCAAATGACCAGCTGTCTGCAAGGAGTATAAACCCTTCCGTTTCCCACCGTCCAGTCAGAGCTGAAGAAGCTTCTTGGATGAGAAGTGAAACGTCTTCAAGGAAAAACCAGAAAGTGCAGTTGCCTCTTGAAAAAGCACCTTTGGGACTAAGACTGCTTGGCTGATTAGATGACTCTCCAGATCTAAGATAGCTTAACTCAGCATCTCGGGAGAGACAAAAGTCTCCTTCTTACGAGTCTGAGAAATGGACTCTGTCATGGAAAAGCCTAGAATTATTTTTGACTTTATTCTTGGAGAACTGACTGCATAGTTCTCCAAAGCATTTTAAATACCACAGCAGCCTTTGATCCCTTGGGAATCCGTGATTGGCCAGCGAAAGCCTCCGTCCTATTTTTAAAAACCCATTTTCGTGGAAACAGTACGTTCTTCCAGGTCTGAAATGGGTACAGCTAGTGAAGGGACCCAGCAATAGGCCCCGAGATCACAACTCTGCCCTCAGTCCCAAATTGGGAGCAAGTGCACAAGGGTCTCATTTTGGGAATTGGGGATTAAAAATCAGCCTTAAACTCAATGGCTGTCGAGAGGGATAAACATGGAGTTCAAATGGAAGCTAATAAAAATAAAGAGTTTCCAGTTATGAACCGTGGAAAATAAATGATGTTGATGTTGGAGAGGAATAATTATTCGAAGGCTAAGAAGAAATTTTAATACAGCTAACGCATACAACTATTCAGTTAGCTTGGCTTTTCTCCGTTTAATCGCAACCTTGCTTTCATATTTGTTTTTCATTAAGAGGGATGGGTATCCTTTTGAGGGGCGTGCAAATGGTGAGAGGGTCAAAATGTTTTAACCTTGAATCATTTTCCTTTTGTTGCAGTGGCAGCAGAAGGAAAAATGAAACTTTCAGTTCTATAATGACATGCTGGGTGAAATTTCTACACGAAAAATTAGAAGTTGTTAACACGAACAATAAGCATAAACGTAAATCATGCAATCGCAACGATGACCCTGGTGAAGGCAAGATTTGGGGAAGCTGACTTTTAGATGCAGGTTTATTTACAAGTTAGTATTTGTAAGTAAGTATTTATTTGTAAATAAAAGCTGCTCCCTTGAATGAAAGATCATTGATAGTCTTCACCTACTCTCAATTCCCAGACCCAGAGCCTTTCAAAACGTTTAATGGTTATGCTTCTGACTATGTTATTTGTCTAATGTTGCTTATTTTATTGTTGGTCATATATTGATTGTTGCAAACTACCCTAACCAGTGATGCAGGGGTGGGTTCTAATTTTTTTTACTACTGGTTCTGTGGGCGTGGCTTATTTTGTGGGCGTGGTTTGATGGTCATGTGACAATTCTTTAGGATTTAGCAGAGCTACTGGTCTACCAGGCTTTTAACTGCTTGCAGAGCTGTACCGGTCTACTCATTTGTTCTTGGAGGCACCGGTCTACCGATTTGTTTTTGGAGGCACCGGTCTACCACCACACTGCCTTTTAACACTGATCAGCTGTAGGGCAGCCCTTTGAAGCCCCGCGACAAGAGTTTAAACAGTTTTTTTTTCCTTCTAGCCAATCAGCTGGGACTCGGGAGGCAGCGAATAGATTGGGGGCGGGGCCAAATAAAAGGTAACACGGGGCGGGCAGCTCCCGGACAAAGAGAACCGGTTCGGTGACATCATATCGTCACTGCTACTGGCTCTGCCGAACCGGGAGGAACCCACCACTGCAGTGGTGAAATCTGAACCGGTTTACTACCGGTTCGCTGGCTACGCACACTTGCTTTGCGCCAAACACGCACTGCATGTGTGCGGTGTGCACCATGCACCAAATGCGAGGTGTGCGGGCGCAGGCGGTGCACACCAAAAGGAGGCATGGGGTAAGCAGAACAGCGTGCGGGGGTGGTGGTGGTTGTGATCAGCTGTGGTGCACAATCTTTTTTTTTTTACTTTTAAAGCATTTTTTTTACCACCTATTCGGGCGAATAGGTTGTAAAAAAATGCCTTTAAAAGGTAAAAAAAAAGGCTCTGACGATCGCGCAGCTCAGCTGTGATCGTCAGAGCCTTTTTTTTTTTTACCTTTTAAAAGCAAAAAAAAAAGCAAAGCCTTCTGCGCAGAGGGTACAAAACACATTACTTTCTGGTTAAAACCAGGAAGTAACGACAACGGGGCAGGTGGGCGGAGCCTCGTGCCGCAATCACTACCGGTTCTCCAAACCACCCGCCACAATCACTACCGGATCGGGTGATCCGATCCGAACCGGGAGCATTTCACCCCTGACTGGGGGTTGTGCAGTACGCATGCCTGGCAAATACAGACGTACATAAAGCTGCACTACCAGAATGTAATGACCTATTGATTTTTTTCGATCTCGAGGCATTCATTCATTCATTCATTCATTCATTCATTCAATTTCTATAGCCACCCGTCCCAGCTAAAGACTCTGGTTTGCTATGCTTTGAGTGGCAAACCAGAAACGGTTGTGGGAAGGTGTCAAAAAAGTCAAGATGTTGGCCATGATCACACAATCAAAACCCCACTCTTTGTTTTTTTCTTTACACGGAGGGGATGTAAAAGGGGGCAGAGCTTGAATTGTGTGGTTGCCATCTTAACTTTGTTGACTATCTTCCCTACTCCCAGTTGCGTTACATCTCTACCATGCATGGGGTGCTGCTGTTATTTCGAAGCAGCTCAGGTTGTATTTTAGCACAAGGCTGAAGAAAACTTGACTAACCCAAGTTACGCTTCCGTGGCTAAGAACTGCTCCATCAAATCTTTCAACAAGGACCCAGCGACTGTTGTTCCTGGAGTCTTTAGGGTTATCACAACAGAAGCCATACTCCCTTGGGACCTCAAAGCCCTCACCCCCCCCCCAAATTATGGCACCATAGGGGGAAAAAAACAACATTCTCCCCTCTGCCCTAAAGCCATGCGCAAACCTCAGCTCAATTTCAAGAGTCTGCAGTAAAACTCCAGTTTGTAAAAAAAAAAGAGAGCCATCTGTCTCTCCAGAATTTGAGTTGGCAAGGAAGGAGGTACCAGAGAGAGAAAATACATGAAACCGATGGGCCCACCGTACTAGCACATAATGTATAGTTCAGAGGTCAGCAACCCGTGGCTCTGGAGCCGCATGTGGCTCTTTCATCCCTCTGCTGCAGCTCCCTGTCACTGGTCGGCTCCACAACTGATAGGGCTTTCGGTTAGGACAGGTAGAGGAAAAAGGACGCCACGCTAGGAGGAGACTCTATGGTGGGGGAATCGGAGTTCCGGTCAGCAGAGGAAAAAAGGACGCTGTGCTAGGAGGAGACTCTATGATGGGGGAACCGGACTTCTGGTCGGCTCCAGAATTGAATGGGGGCTTCCAGTTAGGACCTTTGTGGCTCTTTGAGTATTTAAGGTTGCCGACCCCTGGTATAGTCATACTGAGACAGAAGAGTCTTATATTATACCTATATTAATCTAAGTATTGTATCATGCACAGTATTATATTGTTTTCTGAGATACTGATGTTGGAGCAGAAGTTATGTTGCAAACCTCAGGAAAGTACAAGGAACAGAAATAAGGAACTTGTTAAATGTACCGATGAGCTTAATGACCTCTGTTCTATATCATCCCTGTAACGAACTTATATTAAGAAACATATTAGCAGAAGTGTTCACGGAAAGTAACAGACTGTGTAAGATAGTATCCATATATATGGAAATAGAGCCAGAAGCGTAACGCCTCTGGCGTGGTTAGAATTGCAAAATGTATAAAAGGTACACCTTGGGCATAGCCCGGGGTTCGGAATCTGACATGTGAAAGCTCCGAACCTTTGCTAGCAAATAAACCTGTGTTCTCCAACTTTTGTGGTCTTGTCTCCTGCATTTGGGAAAGTGGGTTTTCCCGCTTCAATACTTTCTGAGGAAGTTCTTTACCTAGACCTAGAGAGTTGGAAACACCTTCAGCTTTTGGGGGGGAGCAGAATTTGGCCCCATCTTATTTGGAGAGGGGAAACTGAACCCCAAATCCTCTGATCTTCATGGTTCTTTCCACGTTTGGCAATCAGGTGCACCCAGGACAGAGCTCTGGAAATCGTGTTGTATCACCTGGAGAGGACACCTCTTCTCTGGCACCAACAAAGATGTCCCCTGTTTGGGAAGAGAACCAGTTCCTAGCTCTGCCTGACCTGTCCTAAGCTTTGCCTCCCGGTCTTCTGGAGAGCGAGGATCGCTCGGCGGATCGGATAACCCAAGGCGACCATCGGTTCAATCAGTTCGCGTTCCTCTTGGCTCAGCACCGAGAGCAGGTCGGCGTTGGAGTCCCGGTGAGCTCTGTGGGGACTAAGAGGTTGCTGGGTCTCTGGTGGGGGTGGGAGGCAGGAATACGGGCTGAGAGACTGAAAAATAAAACAAAACAGAGCGTTTAACATCAGTTAACTTGGAGAAATCTTTATGAGCCATCTGCTCTTTCACGAGACTTTTCAGAAGGATGTTGTTCCCCTCTGGAATATGTGCAGCCATTGTAGGGACGCCAAGAAAACGCTTCAAGTCTTTTTGTCATATTAAAATTAATGTAGCCCCAGCCATAAAGCGAGCCAGGAAAATTCCCACAGTTAGAACGATCTTCCCCCCACCCCCACACCTATTAACATCCTGTTTTCATTTCTGTTTTTCTGAAGCTGATTCAGAACTATCCTGATTTGGAATAAAGATTATTTTGTTTCCATGGAGATGACAAAGGCTGGTAAAACAATAATGAAGACAGGGAATCTGAGTCTTGGGAAATAAAACACTGACGCTTTTAACTTAAAACAACATCTTCATATCATTCAAAGATATGGTTGATGTGGTTTTGGAAAAGTTTTCCCTTGGTGCAGTTTTCAGACGGGGGTGAAGTCCTTCCATAACTGTTTTTTTTTTCCTAGTCATCATTCAAACCCTCACTTAGGCTGTCTCTGGCTATGACAGTCAAGGCATATTATTCCCAGCAGTTCCCAGCAATATCTATCTATCTATCTATCTATCTATCTATCTATCTATCTATCTATCTATCTATCTATCTATCTATCTATCTATCAGAACTACTGTTGCTGGGAACTGCTGGGAATACTATACCCTGACTATCATATATATGCTTCTGGAGGCAAGCTGTTCTGTTGATTAATCATTCTCATTGTCAGAAAATTTCTCTTTACTTCTAGGTTGGGTCTCTCTTTAACAAGCTTCCACCCACTAATTATTAATTAATTGATTCCACCTCTTAATCTAATTTCATCCAAGCTCTTTTTAGGAACCCTTCTCACATGCTCCTAAACCCCATCAAACTGACTTGACCCGAGCCCAAAGAACAAATTGGGTCCCCATCGTTGCTGAATTTTATACGGCAAGGGTTATAAACAGTGGTGAAATCCAATTTTTTTTACTACCGGTTCTGGGGGCGTGGCTTGGTGGGCGTGGCTTGGTGGGCATGGCAAAGGAAAGATACTGCAAAATCTCCATTCCTACCCCACTCCAGGAGAAGGACACTGCAAAATCTCCATTCCCACCCCACTCTGGGGCCAGCCAGAGGTGGTATTTGCCAGTTCTCCAAACTGCTCAAAATTTCCACTACCGGTTCTCCAGAACCTGTCAGAACCTGCTGGATTTCACCCCGGTTATAAAACATGCAGGTAATATAATAGTAAACTCTATTTCATTTGATATGAATACCTCTAAAAATGTTTAAGAGTTGTTGCTGGAATTGCAATGGAGACATCTGGAACATTAACTGATATAGTCGGATTTGTCTGATTATTGTTACATTTTGGACTTCGATCCATAGGATTGCTAACACGAATTTAGATTGATCTGGGTTGGTTAAAGAATGGCGATGTTTTGCTTGGCTGTACCCCCTCAGCATTTGGAATCTGTCAAGACATTGAGAAATACGGCTCTTTTACGCATGGGAGACAGCCAAAAATAATTATTTTAAAATATTGGAAGGACAAATATGTACCTGATTTGCTGCAATGGGTTGCTGACATGTGGATTTGAGTTAAGAGTACTGTATTTTTCAGAGTATAAGAGGCACCTTAGTTTTTGGGGAGGAAAATAAGAAAAAAGCTGATTGGCAGGTGGATGGGCCCCCGGAATATCCCCAATCAGCTGTTCCCAGAGGTGAATTTTAGCAACAGGTTCCTTGGTTGTGAGCTCTGTGCCTTGCCTTTTTTTGCTTTTTTTTCTGCCTCTGAAACTTCTGAAACTCAGTTTCAGAAAAAACTTTTTTTCCTGTCTCTGAAAGCCTCCGAAACAGCTTCAGAAAAAAAGCCTCTGAAGCTCTGTTTGGGGGCTTCTTTTCTGAAGCTTCGTTTCTGATGCTTTTTTCAGCCTCTGAAACCTCCGTTTGGGAAGCTGGGCGGGGCTACATTCGGAGTGTAAGATGCACCCAGATTTTCACCCTCTTTTTTGGGGGGAAAAGGCACATCTTATACTCCGAAAAATACAGTACTTTGATTTTGATATGAAAAAGGGACAAGAAAGAGGAATAAGCAATTCAACCAACATCTAAGAGTAATTTTGTGGATGAGATAAATTCCCAAGCTTTTCCCCTTTTCTGTCTATATGATCAGAAACACACACAGCCAAATGGATTTCCTTGATAACATATTTCAAATTTCTAACACTCACTAGGGATAAAGCAGTGGAAGAATTTTACAGAGAGCGACTATTTGGAAAACAGCGTTGGTCGAAGAAAGGCAGGCCAAGGACCTTTGCACAAATCAAACCTTAAAATGCAAACACTCTACAAGAGTTTGGATTCTCTCCCTCCTTCCCTCTCTCTCAAATACATTTCATATATATTATTTACATTATAGGACCGAAACATTCATTCGTTTATGTTTATTTATAAGTTGGGTTTAACTGGGCTTCAGCTGTCGCATTTCAAGATGTACAGGACTTTTCTGTAAATCTTATACAGCCCCACGTTTCGAAGTAACAACAAGCAATGCAGCCAAACCCTCATCAAATAAAACCACACAAAACAAAACCTCGACAAAACGAAAAACAAAAACTTCTGAATGATGAGGCTTATAAAGAATTAAAACATTCCATTCCGTTCATTCTCCATGCTAAACTGATAAAGAGTCCAAAAGAATTTCATCATATAGTTTGGCACACATAAGTGATGTTTATATTACCTTAAATCACCCTAGTTTAACTCTTGCCTCCTTCCAACTATCCTACAGAGAAATAAGCTATTTTCCTTGGGGGTATTAAATGTCATAATAATATGAGCAGAAAAATAGGAAACTCGCTATGTCCAGTCTAACGAAGAGAAGGACTAGGGGTGATATCGTAGCAATCTTCCAATAGTTGAGAGGCTGTCCCAGAGAAGAGTGGGGGGTTGACTTATTCTCCAGAGCATCTGAGGACAGGACAAGAAGTAACGAGTGGAAGATCAGTAAAGAGAGATCCAACCAGGGGTGAAATCTAAAATTTTCCCCTACCGGTTCTGTGGGCGTGGCTTGGTGTGTGTGGGGTGTCCTGTGACTGAGTGGGCATGGCCAACTCGATGTCACACAGCCACGCCCATTCAGTCACAAGACCCCCTCCCACCAAGCCACGCCCACAGAACCCCTTAGGAAAACTTTTTAAATTTCTATTCTGCCACCCACTCGCCACCCGCTCTCTCTTCACTTTGGGTCGTGGGCCCAGGGATGCGCCATTCCCTGGGGCCCTGGAGCCGCCACCTGCTTGCCGCCTGCCTCAACCAGGTCGGGGAATGCACCATTCCCTGATACCAGCCTTGCCCCGGAGCCCCTGCCCGCTCTTTCATCGCCAAGCGGTTTGTCCTTACCTTTCTCCTGCGGCTGGCTGTCAGGGAAGGCAAGTGCCCAAAAGTTACCGGAGTCACTCAATCTCCTTCTTGAATGTGCCGCCATCATCGCTGCCCTGGTCCACGCGCTGGCTGCGCAAGCACACACCCAACCTGCCGCTCATGAGTGAATTAAATAAACGGTGTGCACTTGCACAGCCGGCGCATGGACCAGAGTGGCGATGGTGGCGGCACATTCAAGGAGAGTGAGCGACTCCGGTAACTTTTGGGCACTTGCCTTCCCTGACAGCCAGCCGCGGGAGAAAGGTGAGCAGTAGGATACACCGCGTGGCGAAGGGTGAGCAGGCAGCGGCTCCAGGGCAAGGCTGGTATCGGGGAATGGTGCATTCCCCAACCTGGTTGAGGCAGGTGGCGAGCAGGCGGCGGCTCCAGGGTAGGCGGAGCCTCCAGCTGCCATTGCTACCGGTTCTCCGAACTATCGGCCATCATCACTACCGGATCGGCTGATCCGGTCTGATCCAGTAGCATTTCACCCCTGGATCCAACCTAGAACTAAGGAGAAATTTCCTGATAGAGAGAACAATTAATCAGTGGAAGTTGTGGGTGCTTTATCACTGGAGGCTTTCAAGAAGAGATTGGACAGCCATTTGTCTGGAATAATATAGGTTAAGACCTCCAAAGTACCTTCCAACCCTATTATTCTAAGTTCCAAAATAATGTTTAGTGTATAGAGAGAGTTTTTGGGTGAGTTGGTTGGGTTGGGTGAGTTGGGTAAAAGTCTCAAATGTTATACAGATGTTAAGGTAGATGGAGCTAAAATCAAGACCATCTTAAGGTTGTCAAGCCAATTCCTATTTGATGTGTTGCATGAATAGTTTCCGGGCATAATTTAAGAATAAGCCTTGTTATCTGGGTTGGAGGAACCAAGGAGATAAGGATAAGTCAACAAGGAAGCTGTTGCCGAATCAGCTCTTCATTTCTTTTTCAAGATGCTGAAAAAGTCATCCAAATGCAAAGCCTCTTTGAAGCTTTGGAACTGATCTTGTTTATGGAGTTTTGGAAATTGAGAAGGATAAAGGCTCAGGGATAAAGATGACTCATCAGCAGTATCAACTCTTCATTAACGGCTTAAAAAACAGGAAGGAAAAGACCAAGAAACGATATTCCTTCCCTGGGGAAGATTCTTCTTGAATGACATTAATAGGGACTAGATCAGTGGTGGGTTTCAAAATTCCGGTTCTGTGAACGTGGTTTGGCGGGCATGGCATGGCATGGTGGGTATGGCAGGGGAAGGATACTGTATGGGTTCAATTGTGGTCATAAGTTGAGGACTATCTGTACAAATGTTGCTTGAGAATGGTCTCTTGCTTTCCAGCATACCAAGTTCCTGATTTGTTTTGCTTTGTTTCGTTTTATTATTTCTTAAAATAAATGAAAAGAAATTAAAGTCAGATCCCAAGTGAGCACCACCTGGCCTTGGGTGGCCTATATATGACTTCAATATATAATTCAGACTGCTTCATTTTATATGCTTCATCATATATGCATATTGTGGGTTGATTATCACACAGTAGGAAAAGACAAAAATTTGTAATGTATCCTATCTAGTCCAGAGGTGGGTTTCAGCAGGTTCTGACCAGTTCCGGAGAATCGATAGTGGAAATTTTGAGTAGTTCGGAGAACCAATAGTAAAAATTCTGACTGGCCCCGCCCCCATCTATTCTCTGCCTCCTGAGTCCCAGCTGGTCAGGAGGAAATGGGGATTTTGCAGTAACCATCCTGTGGATTGGGGAGGGAATGGAGATTTTACAGTATCCTTCCCCTGGAGTGGGGTGGGAATGGAGATTTTACAGTATCCTTCCCATGCTACACCCATCAAGCCACACCCACCAAGCCAAGCCATGCCCACCAAGCCACACCCACAGAACCGGTAGTAAAAAAATTTGAAACCTACCACTGACTGGTTCATTTTTATTAAATGGGTATTTTGTGATCAGTCACACCCAACAGTCATTTTGTGAGATTGAAATGCTCTAGTTGCCCACTGGTCCACAAAGGTTGCCCATCTCTGCCTTTAAGCTACATCCAAGTCAGTTAACACTGAACCCTTTTTAGTACAATACAATACAGATACCATATTCAAGCTAGGCAGTAAACTATAGATCTTCAGACACTTAATCCTTACTCAGCTCTTGGCTAGACTTTTCAGAAAGCTCCCATACATCACTTTAAAAAAAAAAAAATTATATCGCAGAGAAGAATGAAGCCATAACCCAGTGGCTGATGGCCCATATCAGTGCAAAGAGAGCAGAATTTTCATGTGTCTCCCCTGCAGCTTTTAAGTTTCTTCCTCCTGCGCTGCCAAGTTCATGGACATTTGGTGTCTCCCTTGGGCAGCTGAGATGTTTAAGCAATGATCCTCTCTAGCCTGGGAATCACTGGTTTTCACATTGGCACTTTCAGTTTTAAGCAGGTCCATTTTTAGTACAAACAAACCAGTGGTGGGTTTCAAATTTTTTTACTACCGGTTCTGTGGGCGTGGCTTGGTGGGCGTGGCATGGCTTGGTGGGCATGGCAGGGGAAGGATACTGTAAAATCTCCATTCCCATCCCACTCCAGGGGAAGGTTACTGGCAAAATCCCCATTTCCTCCCGATCAGCTGGGACTTGGGAGGCAGAGAACAGATGGGGGCGGGGCCAGTCAGAGGTGGTATTTACTGGTTCTCCGAACTACTCAAAATTTCCGCTACCGGTTCTCCAGAATTGGTCAGAACCTGATGAAACCCACCTCTGAAGCAGATGTTTTGATTCTAGTTAACCATGTCTTTGCACAACAGGAGCGATGCTAAATCAGGCTGTGATTTAGCCACAGTCTCAACCTAGTATCTGGATTATGAGCTGGCTCATTCATGCACACAGTGTTTATGAACACTGGATGTAATCCAGAATGCCCTATACATTTCTCTCACATCGTATGTATGTATGTATGTGTATGTATGTATGTATGTATGTATGTATGTATGTATGTATGTTATTTATTTATTTATTTATTTATTTATTTATTTATTTAATTAATTAATTAATTAATTTGTATACCGCCCTTCTCCAACAGGACTCAGGGCGGTGAACAGCCACGGTAAAAACACAACATATAAAATTTAAAAGCAATTTAAAAAACATTAAATAATGTTGGCCATCAATTTAAAATAACCCAGTTAAAACCAATTATAAATTTAAAACTGCAAGGATGGGGTCAAGCATTTAAAGCAATGCTTTAAAGCATTGTTTTGAAACGTTAATGCATTTGGGTTTTGCTAGTCTAGAGAAAAGAAGAATTGGGGCGACATGATAACAGTATTGCAATATTTGAGAGGCTGCCACAAAGAAGGGGGTGGGGGGTGGGGATCAACTGATTTTTTCAAAAGCACCAGAAGGCAAGACAAGAAACAATGGTCGGAAACTAATCAAGGAGAGAAGCAACCTGGAATTGAGAAGAAACTTCCTAACAGGGAGGACAATTAACCAGTGGAACAGCTTGCCACCAGAAATCATGGGTGCTCCATCACTGAAGGTTTTTAAGAAGAGACTGGACAGCTGCTTGTCTGAAATGGTATAGGTCTGTGATGGCAAACCTATGGCACGCATGCCACACGCGGAGCCCTCTCTGCTGACATGCGAGCCATCGACCAGCTCAGCTCCACCGCGCATGTGCACACGTCTCCTGGTGGCCAGCTGATTTTCAGATCTCAGGCGTGGGGGCTTGACACATGTGCTTGGGGGCACGTATGCATGCGCAGGGGGTGGGGGAGCGTGGGGGGAAGCGGAGCAGCCCCCTCATGGCCTGTTTTTGTTCCCAGGAGGCTTCAGAGAGGCCTGCCAGGCCCCCAATCTATTGCTGCCTCCTGAGCCCCAGCTGATGGCTAGAGGGAAAAAAACGGTTTAAACTCTTGCGGCAGGGCTTCAAAGGGCCGCCCTACAGCTGATCAGTGTTAAAAGAAAACAAAAGAGTAGACCGGTGCCTGCAAAAATACATGAGTAGATCAGTGCCTGCAAAAATAAATGGGTAGATCGGTACAGCTCTGCAAGCAGTTAAAAGCCTGGTAGACCAGTACCTCTGCTAAATCCTAAAGAATTGTCACATGACTATCAAGCCATGCCCACAGAACCGGTATTAAAAAATTTAGAACCCACCCCTGGGTCATGCATGCATGCGCGAGGGGGAGTGGGGAGGTGATGCATGCATGCACATGGAGCAGGGCACGCGGGGGGAATTGCATTATGGGTGTGGGCAGATGCACGTGACCCCCGTGCTCCCCCCACTTTTGGCACGCGACAGCAAAAAGTTTAGCCATCACTGGTACAGGTTCTCCTGTTTGAGCAGGGGGTTGGACTAGAAGACCTTCCAGGTTCTGATGTTTGGCTCCCAGATCCTGTGATTGTATAACACCATGACTCAGGAAGAAGGGGGGGGGGGGGAGAAAAGAAAGGAAAGATTGTTACTTACTGCCACGGTAGGTTTATGGTGTTGGATGGGACGGACAAGCCCTGCGGAATGAAGCCGACTTGGCTTACCACAGGAAGTAGGTGGTGGGGATGGGATTAAAGTTTGTGCTAAGCGAGGAGGGGAACCGGCTCCGAATCGGAACTTCCTGCTGCTTCTGGAGTGCTGGTGGAGAGAGAAAGCGTTCGAAACCAAGGCAGAGTCCACGGACGTTCGGTTTAAGGGATGCATGACGGCCAAGAGCTTCTTCTTGGCACCTTCCAACTCGTTCTTCACGTTGTTTAAAAAATGTGTGGATTGCCTCTGCTTGCCCAAAAGGGACCTCGGGCAGCTGCTTTCCGACGCGGCAGTTAGATGCCCTGGGGAAGTCTTTGGCCTGTTTTGGGGAAGATCAAAAAGCTGAGGTAGAACGCTGGGCATTGGCGCTAAAGGCTCTTCATTGTCAGGTTCTTCAGAGGTGGCTGAGGAAGACTCCTTGCCGTCTGAACCTTTCTGCTCCTCAGGACCCTGGTCTAAATCCTCGCTTTTCATCGTCTTCTCTCTGCTGCCAGGGAAGTGGCGCCTCTCAAAGCTGGTGCCCAGATTCAGACAGCTTCGGACACGTGTTCTTTCTTTGGTTTTGCAATTGGTGGCCTTGTGGCTTCCAGCCACGTTTTCTTTAGTGTCCACCAACAGAAGCCAACAAGGAGGGGCCGTGGGGTACGTATTGGCGGTCACGTTAAACCAGGGAATCTCTTGCCGTGAGGCCGAGTCGATCCAGTAAAGGACCTTTTTCTCGAGTGAAAAATCATGCTGTTGAAAGGCAAGAAGATGAAATGTTAGCATCTTCCCAGCCAAGCTAAGCACGTAGAGAAGATGAGACAGAATATATGATGTCATTCCGATATCCAATGTCACAACGTCTGGAGCTTCTCTTTCCTTGAGCCAAATCCTAAACTATCCTATGTCCATCAAACCCATTGGGGTCATCTTGAAAATATGACTTTGATAAGAAAAAAAAAAAACCACCTTAAAGGAACCATTTTGGCTGAGACCAAAATGTACCTTACATTCTACTATCAACCGGTTCAGTGATCGCGCGCTTCGCGTGCAAGCCTGACACGCACCGCACACACATGTACAGTTTGAAGAAATCTTCACTTCCGCATTTCTTCGGAGGAAAAACAAAGCTGAGGCGCGGCAATCTGCTCTGCCGTGTGAATCAGCTTAGAAGATAAAGGTAGGAAAATAGCGTGGGCGGGCAGGCCCATCTCAGGGGTGAAATTCTTCCAGTTCGGTAGCGATGGTGGCGGGTGGTTCGGAGAACCGGTAGCAAAAATCCCTGCCCTCCCCGCCCATGCCCAGCTGATCCACGCGATCATCAGAGGCTTTTTTAAAAAAATTAACAGCATTTTTTTCTACAACCTCTTCAGCCGAAAAAACGCTTTTAAAAGTAAAAAAAAGCCTTTGATGATCAGGCAACTCAGCTAGGATCGTCAGAGGCTTTTAAAAGCATTTTTTCTGCAACCTCTTCGGCCAAAGAGGCTGTAGAAAAAATGCTTTTAAAAGGCTTTGACGATCCCAGCTGAGTTGCCTGATCGTTAGAGGCTTTTAAAAGCATTTTTTAACAACATCTTCAGCTGAAGAGGTTGTAGAAAAAATGGATTTAAAAGTTTTTTTTAAAAAAAAGTTGGCCACGCCCACGCACATTAAATCCCCCACCACCACCTCCAAGCCACACACACAAAACCGGTAGTAACAAATTTTACATTTCATCACTGGCCCATCTGATCATCAGGGGGAACCCGTTTGCTCCCAGCTGATCATCGGAGCTACCAGTTCACCAGAACCAGTCCGAACCGGTAGTATCCCACCCCTGCTTACAAGTACAGGTAATCCTCGACGTACAACCATAATTGAGCCCAAAATTTATGTTTCTTAGTGAGACATTTGTTAAGTGAATTTTGCCCCCAATCTTTCTTGCCACAGTTGTTAAGTGAATTACTGCAGTTGATTAGTAACACGGTTGTTAAGTGACTCTGGCTTCCCCATGGATTTTGCTTGCCAGAAGGTCACAAAAAAGGATCACATGATCCTGGGCTACTGCAGCTGTCATAAATATCAGAGTCGGTTGCCAAGCATCTGAAGTTTGATCATGTGGCCATGGGGATCTTGCAAGGGTCGCTCGTGCGAAAAACGGTCATAAATTACACACTGTTGTAAATCTGAATTTACAGTAAATGAATTGTTGTAAGTCGAGCCTTTAGATGATGATGGTTCTAATTCATCCAATATCTTACATTCTTTTGGCAGATTAGAATGTTACTGAAAATATTAAAACTTTCTAAAAACATTAAAAATAAAAAACAGTAATATAATGCAATTAATCAATAGTGGAGCAAACAAAAACTAATAATCCACCACTTCAGTGTAGAGGAGATATCTAAAATCAATCTGAAAATGATTCTTTCTGTATGTATATGTTTTAAGTAGGTAGGAATCAAATGAATTAAATGAATGTTGACCTGTAGGGTATGTCCCACCTAAGACAAACTTAAAGCAAATGATTGTAAACAAATCATAATCTAATTTAAGGTGGACTAAATTAAATTCTGTTAGCGGAAAACCAATACTGTAGATATGAAAAACCAAAACACTAACACAGGATCAAATCATCATACTGACACTGCATTTTTATGATAATAAATAAATCTGCTTCATTTAGAAACTTGAGTCAAGCTGCAAATTCACCTGCATCGTTCAACACACAAAATAGATTGGGCCCCCCAAAACGCCAGTTCTTTCCCTAGTTTGGGCATCTATAGATTTGAGTGTTTTAAATAGGAAGCCTGAGAAACCTAAGCAAATGCACACACAAAGTGACAATGAGAGGCGTTCTGAAAATGTATGCTGCTGTATAGCAGCAAAAAAGGATGTTTAGATGATTTCTGAAGAAGTCATATTCCAAAGATGCAATGATGCTCTCTGCTGGTGGGAATGTCCTGAAGACACAACACCAGTGGTGAAATGTAAAATTTGTTACTACTGGTTCTGTGGGCATGGTTTGGTGGGGGTTAATGTGACTGGGTGGGCGTTGCCAACTTTTTTTTTTTTTACGTTTAAAAGCATTTTTTCTACAACCTCTTTGGCCCAAGAGGTTGTAGAAAAAATGCTTTTAAAAAGGCTCTGACGATCCCAGCTGAGCCACGCGATCATCAGAGGCTTTTTTTTTTTTACTTTTAAAAGCATTTTTTCTACAACTTCTTCGGCCGAGGAGGTTTTAGAAAAAATGCTTTTAAAAGTAAAAAAAAAAAAGCCTCTGATGATCACGCGGCTCAGCTCGGCATGGGGGTGGGCAGGGATTTTGCTACCGGTTCTCTGAATCACCCGCCGCCATTGCTACCGGATCGGGCAATCCGGTCCGAACCGGGAGCATTTCACCCCTGCACAACACAATAGGAGAAAGAAAAATGATTTTTTAAATGTGATCTAATTCTGGGTTTTATTTAATTGACCAAACTAAGTAATAATTTTAATTAGCAATTTTATGATGTTTGTGTGTCTATATTTTTCTTGACTGTACACCGCCTTGAGTCCTACGGGAGAAAGGCGGTATAGAAATTAAATAAATAAATAAATAAATAAATAAATAAATAAATAAATAAATAAAGAAATAAATAAATAAATAAATATATATATTGAAATGTCCAAACCCAAAGTTCTAAGTTACTGAAGATTGCCTCTATATAGGAGCCATGGTGGCGCAGTGGTTAGGATGCAGTAATGCAGGCTAAGTCTGCCGACAGCCAGCAGTTCGATTCTGACCGGTTCAAGGTTGACTCAGCCTTCCATCCTTCCAAAGTTGGTAAAATGAGGACCCAGATTCTTGGAGGCTAGATGCTGACTCTGTAAACCGCTTAGAGAGGGCTGTAAAACACTAGGAAGTGATATATAAGTCTACGTACTAAGTGCTATTGCTAAAGGTAGCCCTCAACTTACAACAATCATTTAGTGACTGTTCAAACTTAGAGCTGCACTGAAAAAAGTGACTTATGACTACTTTCACACTTACAATCCATGGTTTTGTGATCAAAATTTGGATGCTTGGCAACTGGCTCATATTTATGATAGTTGCAGTGTCCTGGAGTCAGTGATCCCCTTTTGCAACCTTCTGACAAGCAAAGTCAATGGGGAAGCCAGCTTCACTTAACAACCATGTTATTAAGCTAACAACTGCAGTGATTCACTTAACAACTGCAGCAAGAAATGTCGTAAAATGGGGCAAAAGTCACTGAACAACTGTCTTCCTTAGCAACAGGAATTTTGGGCTCAATTATGGTCATAAGTCGAGGTTTATTTGTACTGTGTCAGAAATCTTTTGAGAATAACTGTAGGCTAGGATGGGTGGATGGATGGAGAGAGAGACAAATAGATATAAAGGCATTTTATTTTGAAACTGCTATGGGGATTGTTATGGAAATACACTTCAAAAAGGCTCAGGAGACAGTTAATCCTTTGCAGATGGACTTGCATGTACAATAGAGAAAAAACAAGAAAACGTACTGCGTTGATAGTGATCTAGCAATTGCATTTTTAGGATTAGCCGAAATACAATATTTCTGCTAAGTGAATAATATATTTTTGCACAGATTCGTGTCCAATTCCCCCTCTGGTAATTCAGTTCTCTTTCCTTGATTTTAAGGCAAGCCAACACCAACTAGCTTTTTCAACCCCACAAACTGTGACTCAAGCTTGTTCTGCAAATTACAGCGAGAATCCAGACACCCACTGAGATTTCCACTTCTAGTTAGTATAGGGGAAAAAAATTTGTTTGTAATAATGGCAAATATTTGTTGCTCGGGTGTAGGAAGAGGGTGAATGGCCCATCAGTGTAGTAATTGAAAGGTATTACAGCAATTAATCTGTTTACCATTGTGCACGTTAAGACCTCTGCACACTCGGGCAGCTCAATCTCCGGCTGGTCGGCTAAGTTGGCATCTCCCACAGGATCGTCCACAAAGCTTACGGTCACTCTGAACGGTACACCTTCCAAGTAGCTCATTACGTCCCCGACTTATGTTATTCTAATAAAAAAGAAACCAAAAGGTGTTCTCAGGACTTTTTAAGACCCTGTTTAATTGCTATGGGGTATTTCGAAGGACTTACTGCCAGATGCCTAATGCAGAGATTAAATCACTTAGTCCTAACGTGAAAGCCAGGGGGACCATAGCCAGCTACCATGTGCTGCACGTATATTTTTGTTAACTCGTTCCGTATGTGGCACTGTTGCGTTCCCAGAACATTAGCCATGTGTTGCTCTAACACAAAAAGCTTATTAAGCCCGAGTGTCATGGGAAGGTGAGGAACTGAACAAACTAAGCAGGAAGTGATGAATCACGTTCTTATTTTGCCCTGTCTTAAGAGTCAGCTAAGGGAGGACAGCCACCATCAATCTGCTTGCTTTCGCCAGGAGTTTAATTGTAAATTTCAATATAGACGTGAAATTAAAAAAATACGTATTTTATGGTATCGGGGTCTGCTTCCCATCAGAAATATGGAACTGAAAGTACAAGCACAACTGTATTCCAGATCATCTATTACTTAACGTTTCTGCCTTCTCGATTTGGTTTGTGTAAAAGTTGGAAAAGGAAGTTGTGTACAAGCTCCTTCCCATCTGCAAGTTATCTGTATTTGTTAACAAGCCAAGATTAGACATTCCCAAATTCTAGGCTCCTGGCATACAATTCCAGAGTAGAGACACTAATGTGCCACACTCTGCAGTCATTTCTGCAACACAAAGAGAAACTAAGACAAGGAAACCTGTTCTTCTTAAGTCCAGAGAACTCCATATATTGATCTAATTCAGATGCACATGGTGCGCAAGATCTGTCTTGAGTTAATCGACAGTCATCTTAAGGAATCTTTTAGGCATTAAAATCAGTTAAGATAATTAATGACTTCAGATGGAAGTTATAGAAGATTCAAGGCAATGAAACCAAACTGTCGATTTCCAGAAATCTGTTTCCAGGTATCTATTAAATATTATAATTGTTTTACAACTGACAACTTTCCTTTGTAAAACATTTAACAAGTAGTATTTTCAGCTCTGATCTGTAAAGCAACATAGAACAGAATTCGTCATATTTCCTCCCAATTCAGCACTACAGTTCCCATAACACCTAACAAGAGCGATGCGGAAGGCATCAAGTTAAGAAAAAGCTGCCCCAAAGTAATTTTAACAGCTGAATATGGGTAATTTAAAAGTGCCAATTAAAATGATGACGGCAATACAATCCTTTTGTTCTGCCAGTTTGAATTAAGGATATAAGATGAAAATCTGAATTAGCAACTCCTAGATGGAAAAAGATAATAGAGTTCATGAATTGTCTAGTACCAGTACTGTCTAGAAAGTTTATGATCCCAGAATTGATCACAACTGGAATATTAGGCATGAGATATTTATCTCTGGTTGCAATTTAAAATGCCAACTTTAAGTGTTATCACAGCTACAATTATTTTTAATTAAAAAAATATTAATATTTTTTTAAAAAACAAGGAACATACAAGCAAAGAGCAAAAAAATTAGAAAGAAATCTATTTAATGGAGAAAGGAATTACTAAGGATGTGAACCTAGTGCTCAGTACATGAACTATTGATAAAAAAAGAAGTACATTAAATTCTTTTGTAAGGACTGGAATCCGAGCTAAAAAAAATATTCTTTAAAGAAATGTTAGATTTATATCTCTGTCTGTAAACAAGAAACCCACCTATGAACCTCTTAACTATTTCTTCAGCTTAACACTCAACTCTCCAGGTTACACACATTTATTTCTTAGGTAAACTCACCTTAGCAAGGAATTAGAAAGGCACTTGCCAGTGGAAGACGTCTTGCTGGCAGTCACCTCTGCTGTTGCAGAGGGAGCCCTGGCCAAGCCTAATGATTAGAGCTGGTTGAATAAGCGTTTGTCGTCAGGTTTTCCAATGGGGTAAGCAGCCTAATCAGCTCTAAAATCCATATATAGGTCACTGTGCCCTGTGAAAACATATAATCACGACTGTCTCAGCTGAAAACGCCTGGAAGTGAGAAGATGCTTTTGGTGGGTGGTCTGTATTTTCAATGATATTATGAAGAAAAATGTGCAACAATTTTGTTTCCCACAGTGGCCACTGCTGCATCTTGGGCTTTTTGCTTAAGGAGGTTTTGTGCCACAAAGGAAGCAAAATAAATGCCAGATACAAACGTTGAAATGCTAATAATTTATTAAGTAGAAACAAAAGGCAACATACTTTTATTAAACAGGGCTATAAGTCACTCCGACAATTTACAGTTTCCCATTACAGCATCCTCAAGACTTTGTCGCAAACTTTACAAGACAATAAAGCAAGCTTTGCAGATGATTTGACAATTATCTTCCAACAAACGTTTAACAAGTCTATTTATTGCACACATGTATGTACCAGACAAAAGCTATGGTTTGTACTAGCAATTTGGGTACAACTTGCTCTTTTATGCCATTAACAGCCGTGCCTGGGGTTTCAATTTTTCTGAGATCTGAGAAAAAGATGATTTAACAGGGTTTGTGGGCGTAACTATGCAAATAAAATGTGTTAAAATAATAGTAACTTTTTCTTAAAGAAATGCAGGAAAAAGTATGAGATTAGAGAACATTCAGTCTTTCCAGTGTAAATAATGCTAAACTAAACCAACTGGTATTAAATACTTAGAACTTTTGTTTCAGAAGTAAACAGACTGAAGGAGCAAGTGAATGTAAAATAACCGAGTATCAAAACGGTATTCGCTGAGCAGTGGAAAAATGTAGCAAGGTTTGGTATGAATACATTTCTTTTGGTCAACAATAGTAATTTCTAGTTTTTTGCAATTTATGAATCACAGAATTCATGCAGAATGAGTACTGTTCTCAAGAACTTTTTATAGGAAATCTGTACGAGCACACAGAGTTCCTGAGCAGCTGGTAATTCACAGGTAACAAAATCTCTATCTGCTTCCTCTTTACATTCTTTCCCTTCAAGGAATGAATTTTGTTTCTGCAGAGTTTGTCATTTATTTAAACTGGAAATGTGCTCTTCAGCTAGGGTTGTAAGCTATACTGGCAAGAGGTCATTTATTAAAACACAGAAAGGGGAGCAGGAGAGCACGTAAGTTCAAGACTCCTTTCTTGAACACCAAACCATGCTTTGATGTTATAATGAAAATATGAAGAGGCAAAACCCCGTTAGCTTATATCCCTATTCTATTATCCTAGTTTAAGAGAAAAACAAAATAAAACAAATGCTTCTCTAAGTGTGTGAATCACATATGTGTGTATAAATGAAAGGCACTTTTTATGGCAACATGGAAAAAAGCTAGTTAATTCACTCCATACAACTCCAATTTAGCGCCATAGTTTTTAAAAGCAGTACTGTAACTCAAACTTCAAAGGAAATGACTATCAGCCACATCTGTCAATTCACTTAACTCCTGCCATGTAAGGCCAAGATAACTACAGAGGTGTAGTTTGAATTTAAACATCTGGATACTGTTCCAAAGAAATTATCTTTGATGTTGCCTTGGGCAATAACTTCTGACTTCCCAGAGTTTACTTTACATTAAGAACACATAGAATAATGTTTAGCTGGTGCATTGATTGCATGGTCTCTGAACTATATAAGCTCCATAGATAAGCTGAGTTTTATATCTGGCCTCTATTAACCAATGTCACCCGGCAGATCCATGGCATACTTATTTTTCTATCGCTGGGATTACACTTTTGATTTTGTAGGATTTACATCCCATTTAAGGTAAACTCAGATAAATTTCCGAGGAAAGTCGTTTTAAAGTATGGATCTATCCCACAAACTCGAATACATGCACAGCAGTGATTCATTGACACTTCTTTCATGATCAAAATCCTTTGATATTTAAGTATAACCAGATGCTAGAGGGGACTTACAAGCACTACAGTAAGTATCAATGCTATACTTTTAACAGCATCTTTAAGGACAATGCTTGTCTTCTCAATCAATATTTTCTGGCATCCTTTAGCCACCTATAACGTATTTTAAACTCAAAGAACTCTTCTAATGTGAGTTGTCAATCACACATTATTATGGCAGCCTTTCCAAACTGGCAAATCACACCATGTCTTGTCTTCAATGGTGCTTCAAAGTCATCACCTGACAGCAGTGGCCCAGGTATCACTGGAGGGAGGACTTGGAAGGACCCATCCTGGTGGAATGAAATCTCCTTCTGGATGACCTGCAGGCACCAAGTATTGATCCCATTCATGCCTTTAAGGGAAAAAGTTAGACAACACACTGAGCACTGTATCTATTCCTTGTCTGAATTATTTCACCCAAAGCATGTACTCAGGCAACTGCAGCTGAATATGGAGTTGACAAATAGGTGCAAAATATTGTAGGGACATGGTTACAGGCAATTTGAATGAACGGTGGCTACTCAAAGGACCATTAAAAAAGCTGTTCTATTTATGTCCCATCTTTCTTTCAGGAGCATCCAATGGTACAGATTAGATCCACTACAATTTTATCCTCACAATTACCTTGTGAGGTAGATTAATTTAAGAGATAGGATGCATTCACACAACAGGTTTACTGAATTAACTTATTTTGTGGATTTGCACAATAAATTAAATGGCTGGCTTTTGTATAACAAGTCATAAAGTACTAGTCAAACTTAGCGTGTTGTGCAAATGCAGCCCTTAGGTTTATAAATGATTCAGTTCAGTACAGGATATAAAAGCAACACTGTTTTTTGAGTGACCTGCTGAGTCTGAGTGGTGGGCTGAATCAAAATCTCAAGTTTATAGTCTGTGATGGATACCAATACTGGTTCTACTATGGCCAGAGGGGCTGAATGATGCTGGAGACAGGTTTTACATCTTTCATTAGAACAATGCTTATATATCACAAAAACAAATGATCTCTCCTAATATAAAAGGAAATAAAGAAAGCACATAAGGAAATTAGATGGGAAGGAAGACACATAAAAATTGTCTTTTCCCCTCTGTTCCAGTTCCTGGGTCTAGTTAAAACCTCAACAGGTTTTATTAAACAGGACTATAAATCATTCTTTTGCTGTTTCTCATTACAGCATCCCCAACCGACAACTTTGTTGCAAAAGTTTATAGGACAATAAAACATGCTTTACACAACTACTGACAGTTATACAACCTGAGTTGTGCAGACTCAACAGTTGCAACTGAACATTAACATCTGTAACAAATGGATTAAAAAGGAATTCATGTGGCAGCCTGAATTCAAGACAGCCAAGACAGCTGAGAATTCCCAGGTTTTTATGCAAAACAACGTACACCAACACCTCAATTTGTTTTATTTACTAACGAATGACTCTTACCTGATCTGGAGGAGAGCTGGCAAGGAATATTCAGCTTGCAAATAGTATTGTGTGAATGGCTCCAAGACGTGGGTAAATGGAAATTCTTCTAAAAATATAAATAAGAAAATCTTTTGTGTCACAGAAATAAAAGCCTCCCTTAATTGTAAGAATAGATCTCCTAGGTTGTTGTTTTTTTTAAGATGAAACTTTGTTTTAAATCCAATAAGTCAGTTCTTATGTTGACATAGAAGAACTACATAAATAAACATTTTGTGGAACAGTTACTTTTCATTTGTTTGCAACTGAAATAAAAATAAACACTTTTAATGTAACTATTCCCACCCCAAAGTCGCTACATAAATGAAGCAGAACATTCCTGGATTTCAAGGGCAAATCAGCTTCTCCCAAACAAAGAGCATCAGCATTCTGAACGTTACCTGGATCCCCAAACAGTTTGGAGTCCATGTCACGCTTCTGCTGCAGGAGCTTTTCCCTTTCCTTCTTCAGCTTCTTCTCCATTTCTCGTTTCCTTTCTTCTTCCTGCTCTCCTTCCAGCATGACTCGGAGAGCTCGTTCTTCAGCTTCGTAGAGTTCTGTGCGTTTTTTAATTGATGCTTTTAAATTCTGAACTTCACTTTCGAAGGCTTCATCTGCAGCTGGCGGCGGACAAACACCTGCACCGAACACACACAAGTGTTTATTGCTGTTTTCTTTCTTTTTTTGTTTCAGAAGAATCCCCCAGCTCATTTAGCCAGTGGTTCTCAACCTTCCAAAGCTAAAATCCCATCAAACGTTCGGTCGAAGAACCTAGGCCTCAGCATGAAAGAAAGAAAAACAAAACAAAACCCAATTCTTTCTAAGAAGGACATTTATATAGTTTATAAGAGCTGTGGTGGCATAGTGGTTAGAATGCAGTATTGCAGGCTAACTCTCCTGACTGCTAGCAGTTCGATCCTGATCGGCTGAAGGTTGACTCAGCCTTCCGTCCTTCCTAGGTGGGTAAAATGAGGACTTGGATTGTTGATCGCAAGATGCTGACTCTGTAAACTGCTTAAAGCACGCTGTAAAAGCACTGTGAAGCAGTATATAAATGCTATTGCTATTATGGGCCCTTTTTCTCATTTACAGTAGGTTTTAGTTCAATAACATATTTTCTCGCCTAGATTTCTGGGTTTGATTTAAATCAATGCCTTAGAAAAAAATTAATGTGATCTCTAGGTTTTTTTTCCTACCTCTTCTCAGTTTCTCAATTATTTCCAGCAGAATAACTGAACAGGCTATCCTCGAATTGTGATTACTTGTTTAACAGTGGTTTGGAGTTACAATGGCAATGAAAAACTTAGTTCATAACCCATCCTCAAACTTGGAACTGTAACACCATCTCTGTGGTCATGTGCTTGCAATTTGAGCACTTGGCAATCAGGTGACATTTACAATGGTTGAAGCATCCTGCAGCTACATGAATACAATGTGAAACCTACCTGACAAGCAAAGTCAATGTGGGAAACCAGATTCATTTACCAACTGCAGTGATTCATTTAACAACTGCAGTAAAAAAAAAAAAAGGGGGGGGGTAACAAAATTAGATCTGGTCACATGACAACTTTCTTATTGACTATACTGATTAGCAACCAAAATTCCTGTCCCAATTGTGGTTGTAAGTCAAGGACTATTGCATGTCTCTTACCCTCTATGCTCCAAGATTGGATTGGTTCACTATGCGAGTCTTCTAAGTTCATAGTGAACATTAATATCTAAAGCAGATTTTAACAAGAAAATCAGAAAAAGCAGTGTGAGATCCACTGGCAGTAATGTTAGGACTTTCGCACAAAGTTTCCCAACCATACAGAGTACTGTACACCAAAAAGGAGTAAACACAAAGTAAAACACACACACAGTCACAATTGTGAATGATTAAAAAAAGTCCAGGAATTTACCTTTCCTTCCTGCTGCTTCTTTTCTTAGTTTCCTAAGCTTTTCTAAGCCACGCAGAATTTCTGCCATCCGCTTTGTGTCTGCTTGCTTTTTTCTCACTTCTGATAACACGCTATCGGCGGCAGCTTTAAGTTCTTGTTCCTAAATTAAAAGAATATCAATTAGAAAACAGAATAGGAAGACACACAACAACCTTGCAAACAGTAGGTAAAAGTGGGTTTGTTAGGCGCAAGGAGAGAGAGATCTTTGTTGAAAACTTTTTTTGCTCAGCAACACCGTATGAAAGGCACCCCTTGGGAAGTTCAAGCTAATATATGAGCAAAAAAATGAACAAATGACATTCTCTCTCTGAGACATACTGCCTTCATCCCCAAAGTAAAGCGCAATGGCACAGAAATAATCCCTCCCCCCATAGTTGTTTAGTTTGTTTCTACTGTCAGTCATACTTATAACTTGTAAAATAAGTAAATACAGGGAGTCCTTGACTTACGACGACAATTGAGCCCAAAATTTCTGTTGCTAAGCAAGACAGTTGTTAAATTAGTTTTCCCTCATTTTACAACCTTTCTTGCCCGAATTGTTAAGTGAATCACTACAGTTATTGTTAGTAGCAAGGTTGTTAACTTAATCTGGCTTCCCCATTGATTTTGCTTGGCAAAAGGTCGCAAAAGGCAATCATATGACTTCAGGACACTGCGACAGTCATAAATACATGCCACTTGCCAAGCTTCTGAATTTTGATTGCATGACCATGGGGATGCTGCAACTGTCCTAACTATGTCCCAAAGGTGCTTTTTCAAGAGGCAACTGGACTTTCTTGTTTTTCTTCGAAGATGCTTCGCTTCTCATCCAAGAAGCTTCTTTAGCCCTAGTCCTAAGTATGAAAAACAGTCATAAGTCACTCTTCTCAGTGCTGCTGTAACTTCAAACGGTCACTAAATGAATAAATCGAGGACTACCTGTACACAGTAAAACTTTTTTTTTACTCCTACTGCCATGGCAAAACCATAGAGGTTTGTATTAGCAAGACTTCAATGTCATCTGCAGCTCTATAACTGTCTGGTTTGGCTCTGCAACCCAACAAGACAGACACAGACTTCAGAGGATAATTAGAACTGCAGAAAAAACAAGCGCTTCCAACCTGCCTTCCATGGAGGACCTGTATACTGCACGAGTCAAAAAGAGGGCTGTGAAAATACCTACAGACCCCTCGCATCCTGGACATAAACTGTTTCAACTCCTACCCTCAAAACAAAGTTATAGAGCACTCCACACCAGAACAACTAGACACAAGAACAGTTTTTTCCGAAACGCCATCACTCTGCTAAACAAATAATTCCCTCAACACTGTCAAACTAGTTACTAAATCTACATTACTATAAATCTTCTCATCGTTCCCATTACCCATCTCCTCCCACTTATGACTATATGACTGTAACCTTGTTGCTGGTATCCTTAAGATTTATATTGACTGTTTCCCTATGACTATCATTAAGTGTTGTGCCCTTTGATTCTTGACAAATGTATCTTGTCTTTTTATGTACACTGAGAGCGTATGCACCAAGACAAATTCCTTGTGTGTCCAATCACACTTGGCCAATAAAGAATTCTATTCTATTCTATTCTATTCTATTCTATTCTATTCTATTCTATTCATAAGCTTTATTGTAAAATTATAAATATTTCCTGTTGAGTGTATATGTGAGTGGGTGTGTGCATGTCTTGTTCCTCGCTGTCAGTGAAATCCATTACTCTATAAACTTGCATTGAGGAAGAATAGGAATAGGAATAGGAATAAGAATAGGAATAGAATAAACTATTCTTTATTGGCCAAGTGTGACTGGGCACACAAGGAATTTGTCTCCGGTGCGTAAGCTCTCAAGTCTACCCACAAACAACAAAGTGGTTAAGTCACAGATCATAAATCCTAGTTACAATAATAAATCATAACATGCAAACAAGCGATAAATCATAAGATGCCAACAGGAGAAAGTGGTAGGATAGATGAGAAAGAGGAGAAGGATAATAGCAATAACAGCCCTACTACAGGGTTTTAATATCTTCAGATACAGGACAGTGGGAGCTAGGTGTTCAGCAAAGTGATGGCGGCAGAGTAGGCTGCCTCTACAGGTAGTCCTCGACTTATGACCACAACTGAGCCCAGAGCTTCTGCAGCTGAGAGAGGCATTTGTTAAGTGGGCTTTGCCCCATTTTACGACCTTCCTTCCCCACATTTGTTAAACGGATCACCGCAATTGTTAAATTAAGTAACACAGGTGTTTATAAAGAGAATCTGGTTTCCCCATGGACGTTGCTTGTCAGGTGGTCGCAAAACGGGGATCCAGTCACCCACCCATCCCCGAGGACGCCGCGACAGTCGTAAATGTGAGTCAGCTGTCAAGCGACTGAATGAATGTAAAATCGGGTGGCCATGGGGGGGGGGATGCTGCAAACGGTCGTAAAGTGTGACAAATTTTATTTATTTATTTATTAATTCAACTTATATACCGCCCTTCTCCCCGGGGGGAATCAGGGCGGCGGACAGCCAAACTTAAAACACATATAGTACAAAAGTTAAAAAAAAAAACTAAAATAAATTAAATCATCGGCATTTCCAATTTAAAATCCCAGTGGCAAGTCGCAAGTCTCTTCATTCCCTGCCGTTTGAACGGTCACTAAGTGAGCCGCTGTAAGTCGAGGACTACCTGTATTTCCCCTGCATTTCCACCCAGGGACCATCCAGGCAGCAAAAAGGAGCAGAGCATGGGGATCCCTCTGCTTTCCCAAAGCCCGGGCAGCCATTTCTCTTCTCCCAATGACCCGAGGGCGCCTTATTCGTTTTTTTTCTTTTTCCCCGTGGATTCCCGGACCCACCAGGCGCCGGTCCTCCACCTCCTGGGCTCGCCGGGCCCTCCAGCGATCGATGAGGGCCTCGCGCTCGGCGCGCCGGGCTTCTTCCTCCTGCCGGGCGACGCGGGCATCTTGCCTCCGCTTTCGCCGCCTCAGCCTCTTCTGACGGGCCCGATCCAGCCGGGCCCTCAGCAACTTCAGGGCGCCGGGCTCGCGTAGAGGCCTCACCACAGCGCGGAGCTCCTCCAAGCCGGCCTCGGCTTCGGCCGTCTCTCCCGGCGTCGCTTCATCGCCCCGCCGCCGCCAGGTCGCGCACAGCCCGGCCACGCGCGCCACCGCCTGCAGCGCCTCTGCCGCCGCCCGCGCCGCCTCGTCCGCCGTCAGTCCCCGCTCCCGAGGCGGAGCCGCGGAGACGGCGGTCGGTCGTCGTCGTCGCCTGACGAAGCGGCTGAGCCAGGCCTCGTCGCGGTCGCAGGCCTCGTCGCCCGGCGCGTCTGAGGCCTCAGGAGTAGGCCGCGGCGGGCCCTCCGGTCTCCATGGCAACGGCGGCCTCTCTGGCAGGGTCGGCGGCCACTGAGGAGGAGGAGGAGGAGGAGGCGCCGGCGGCGGCGGCAGGAAAGGCGGGAGGCCTCCGCCTGGGAACGGCGGGTAGAGGCCCCTCGGAAAAGGCTGAGGCGGCGGTCCCCGGAAAGGCCCCGGGGGAGGTAGCGCGGGCGGCGGGAAGCCGGCGGCCTGCGGCGGCCCCGCGAAGCGCGAGGCGAAGTGAGGAGGAGGCGGCGGTTGAGCCATCGTCGGAGTAGGCCGCGCCGTCTCGTCTCTACAAGGGCCTCGTCCTGCGCTGTGGGGACGAGCGGCGCCCCCTGCAGGCTTGGAGGAGTATCGGCAGGGAGGAGCTTCTCTGCCCCGGGAGTGGCTGCTGGGGCCGCTGTTGCGCCAGAAACGGAGGAAGCTTCTCGGATGAAGAAGCGAAACCTCTTCAGTTTCAAAATTTCAATTTTTTTATTGTCGGTGCACAACATGTGTACAATGAGATTGGTGGAGCTTCCTCAGTGCACGTCCGCACACACACACACACCCAACACAATAAAACTCACAGTGAAGACGGAAAATCCCTAAACCAATAAATCATATTAACAAAACGCCTGGTCCTATTGCACCAGTGTGAACATGTTACATGCAATTACTGTAAGTTCGAATCTCACCAGGCTCAAGGTTGACTCAGCCTTCCATCCTTTCTAAGGTAGGTAAATTGAGGACCCAGTTTGTGGGGGCAATAAGCTGACTTTGTATAAATATACAAAAGTATGAAGGCTATTGCTTAACGCATTGTAAGCCGCCCTGAGTCTCTGGAGAAGGGCGGCATATAAATCAAATTTAAAAAAAATAATAAAGCAAGGGAGCCCAGCTTTTGATAAGAGCTGAACCCTGCACAAGCCTTCCCAAGTTGCAGTCTTCGGAGAGGGGAGGGACAGGACAGGGGTGCAGAGTTAGCAGGGCAGGGTATGTGATGCTTTTCTCCTTGCAGGGATTTGTTGCACTTTTTAAAACCTGCTGCATTTCTTTGAAACAGGGATGACTAGTTTGAGTATAAATTCCGGTTGTGGACAGATGGAACGCTGGAATGACTGGACCTATCATGACAGATATGTATGCCGTGTTTCGCTGAAAATAAGACCCAACCGGAAAATAAGCCCTAGCATGTTTTTTCAGGATGCTCATAATATAAGCCAGGGGTCTGTAACCTTAAACACTCAAAAAGCCATTTGGACCCGTTTTCCACAGAAAATACCGGGAGCCACAAAACTCCTCCCGTGCCTGACTATTTCTTGAGCGGCCACAAAACTAGCATATGTATTTGAATTAAATGTTCTGTTTTCTTCTGAAACTTTTCTTGGATTTATCCATGGTTGGCCTACCCGGGGTTGAAAAGCTCAATAAATCGCGTGCCGGCAGGTGTTGCACATTGGCGGTTGTGACACATATTTTGAGTGACAAGGAGCCGCAGCAGAAGGATGAAAGAGCCACATGTGGCTCCAGAGCCGCAGATTGCTGACCCGATATAAGCCCTATCCCAAAAATACGCCCCAGTTAAGATCGTCAGCCACACAGACACATTTAGTACTGTATTTCCCCCAAAATAAGACATCACCTGAAAATACACCCTAATGTGTCTCTTGGAGCAAAAATTAATATAAGATCCGATCTTATTTTCGGGGAAACAAGAGTATACAATGAACATTTACATAAATGCCTGCTCCAGGTAACAGCTTTTCAGGACAGCAGGATTGTCCCACTTTAAAAAGCAGATAAGGTACAGCAACACTGCAAGCATCAGCCAGACTGCTTCCAAATACAGTATCTTTTGGATAATTATCGTCCTGCACGATCACAGCACTGACGGCCATTTCTGCACCATGTTATCTGAAATGTAAAGCCATATTCACCTATTGGAAGCTTACAGGGCATTTAAAAAAGTAGACACCATCTTTTACAAATAGCCTTTGGAATATAATTGTGCATTGGATCAGGCAGAGGTGGTCAGAAATCTATGGAAAAGTAATAGACTTAGGAAGATGGCAGCCCTGCGAGCCAACAGTATTTTGTCTTTTTAATTAGAAGGCCTGGGGACCAAAAACATAAGAATGGTCGCAGGAATTGGGTATGGCCAGTCTAGAGAAAAGAAGGACTTGGAGTGATATGAAGTGTTTGTGGAGTTGTCCCAAAGACGGCGGGGGTCAACTTATTTTCCAAAGCACCAGAAGGCCAGACAAGAAACAATGGATGGAAACTAATCAAGGAGAGAAACAACCTGGAATTAAGGAGAAACTTCCTAACAGTGAGAACAATTAACCAGTGGAACAGTTTGCCTTCAGAAGTTGTATGGACCTCATCACTGGAGGTTTTTAAGAAAAAACTGGACAGCCACCTATCTGAAATAGTATAGGGCAGTGATGGCGAACCTTTTCGACACCAACTGCCCAAACCGTAACGCGTGTGCATGCATGCGCATGAGTGCATGCAGGAGCATCGGAAACCCGAAGACCAGCTGGCCGGTGCGCGCATTCCTATTTTTTGGCCATTTTTCTGGCCATTTTCAGACTGAAAAACGGCCCTGAAAATGGCCCCAAAACAGCCTGAAAAAGGCCCCAAAGTGGACTGTTTTTTGGCCATTTTCAGGCCGTTTTCTGCCACTTCAGCACCTGCGAAGACCAGTTGGCCGGTGTGCATGTGTACGCCGGAAACCGGAAGAGCAGCTGGCAATGGCTCGCGTGCCCACAGAGAAGGCTCTGCGTGCCACCTCTGGCACTCATTCAATAGGTTCACCATCACAGGTATAGGTTCTCCTGCATGAGCAGGGGATTGGACTAGAAGACCTCCAAGGTCCCTTCCAGTTCTATTCTGATGGATTTATACTGTCACATTAAAAAGTGAGGAGCTGTGCACAACAAATCTACAGAACACCAAAAATCAATTCTTCTAAACTCATACCCACCCGATGACTGATATCCAGACACAGGTTGAGGAACTTGAAATTGAGATGTCCCTCATCCACTATCAGTCATTACCGGTTGTGATGGAGATTTCCATTTGTTTTAACCAACTGGTTGAAATAATAACCAGTTTAATTATATGCTTAAAACAGAGGTTATAATTTGGTAACAGATTTACATCTCACACAGAGGAAAGACATCAAATTTGTAGGTAGAGACTTTAATTTTCAGAAATGAATCAAGAACATTAGCGGTCCTTTTTCTATGTTTTTACAAATATTAAAGGATCAAGTTAACTGAAAAACAAGAGATTTAAAAGTAACAGGATGCCGTATCGGCATTTGAGCTTATAATTTAAATAAGAATTTTGTGCAAACAGTGCCTACTGATCACATGAAAAATATACAATTTTGTTATGTTCTGGTGTCTTTTTGTGGTGTAAAGTAATCTGGGAAAAATATCTGGCACCAAAAAACTGATGCTTGATGGTTTCAGTAGGTTCAATTAATGTACAATATTAAAAAAAAATTGGTGTAACATTTTCAATGTTGTATTGGACTGTTTCTGTAAATCATTATTCTCCTTATGAAGAGTACAGCACCTCCTTTATTCACCTGTTCTTATAACACATCTATTTTTTTCCTAAGTGACATATATATTTAAATATTAAAAACCTTTGGTATTACACATAATTATTTAATGCATTGCATTATGTTGTTAGGAAAACAGACTGCAATACTCTAAAATATGGCATTGTACAGTCTGTTTACTCTAGAGCAACCTGGCTGCTTGACAACAAATTTGTGGGTGAAAATACAGCCTTTTAAGCTTCAATATCCCATTTTTAATGGTGGTTTCCAAAATAAACATAACAAGAAACTCCAGCTCCCACTGCATTTAAAATAGGAGAGCTATTAACCCATACTGAATGATCCTCAAACCAAGATAATCAAAATTGTGTATTCATATATAAAATACCTTCCCCATTTTTCAGTTACTTTGCAAAAATATTATCTAAATAATGCTGGTATCAGCACTGCATTTCAACTTAAGACTGAGCAAAATTAACCAGCTCTTAGAAAATTTGCCTTTGCCCGATGACCACCGAAATCTTTTTTTTATGATAGTGATAAACCACAAGATCAGTGTTTTGTTTGTTTGTAGCAGCTATAGTTTGTGAACGTGTTGTTTAACCTCAGAGGGGAATTGCTGACATCACTTCATCTTAGTTTTAGGGAAGACTGCAGGCTGCCTAAGATATTTTGTGTATATGTTAAGGTCCTGAAGTGAACAGGGTTCTAATTGGGACGGGGGGGGGGGGGAACGACTTAGGAATGGGGATTAAAGGGGAAAATGTATTTGCGTTACCCTCTTCAGCCACTTTAAAAAGCACGTTTTTGTATGGTTTTTTTTTAATTGAACAAAACTTAATATACAATTCACTTTCTCAACATTATATCATTTTTAGTCCAAGTGTCCACTGAACAGACCCAGTGTGATGTTACAGAAACTCATGATCTGATTTCCCATGAGAGAGGCCAAAGTTTTCAACCATGGGTCCTATAGTCAGGAGGAATCCAATGTTAGCAACAGGCTGCCAGGGCCACGTATGGTCTCAAACAAAGACAGACACACCGAGTGCTTTTGCTGAAGAACATTCTGACTGTTTAATGGTTTGCGGCATCTGCTTGGCGGGCCCAACTTTCTTCTTCTACTCCCGAGTCGTACTCTTCCTCCGAGGAATCTTTAGTTGGAGTCCTAGAATTGAAATGGAAGTAATGTCAAATGCCTGAAATTATCAAAACAAGAGAACTCATCAGAAAACAAAAAGAAAACAAGCTGAATTCTTATTAATACCGAAATGAACATTTAACGATAGTCTCCATAGTTCCGTGATGGCAAACCTATGGCACGCGTGCCCAAAGTGGCACGAGAAGCCATGTCGCCCGGCACGTTCAGCCTTTCCTGTTTGTCTTCTGTCTTCTGGGCTTCTGGTGCGCATGTGCGTGCCACGATCAGCTGTCCTTCGTGCATACGGCAGTGCCGAAAATCAGTGTGCACATGCACGCCAGCCGATTGTTGGGTGCACATACGTGCCAGAACCTGGAAGTTCAGCTTTTCTGGAGCGCAATCCCTTTGCACGCATGGCAGTGTTGAAAACCGGCCTGCGCATGTGTGCTGGCCAGCTGATCATTGGCCACACGTGTGCGCTAGTACCCGGAAGTTCACTCGGTGCCCAAAAGGTTCGCCATCGCTGCCATAGTTCCTTTAAATTGTCCTTAGCAACTAGACTTAATTACAGAATAACTGCTTACCTAGAAAATTGTCTGAAAGGCTCTCGAGAAAGAGTTCTTCGTCTAAGTCAGCAGCCAACCCGATCTAACTCTTAATTTGAAACTCAACTTTACCTGACATATCCTGGTTCTTTCTTCCCTTCCACAACTTCCTTGTCCACCTCCACACATACTATGTCAGAGTTGGGTACTTCGAACATGGGTTCCAGCAGTAACTTTTCCTAAAGTTGGGGGATGAAGAGAAGAGTTCGGGTTTTTTTTCCTCTCTAAATCACTGTACACAATTTCTGTTTTAACGACGATGTAACAATAGCAGTGGTGAAATCCAAATGTTTACTACCGTGGGCGTGGCTTGGTGGGTGTGGCGGGGGAAGGATACTGCAAAATCCCCATTCCCTCCCCACTCCAGGGGAAGGATACTGCAAAATCCCCATTCCCTCCACTCCTGGCGGAAGGATACTGCAAAATCCCCATTCCCACCCCACTCTGGGGCCAACCAGAGGTGGTATTTGCTGGTTCTCCGAACTACTCAAAATTTCCACTACCGGTTCTCCAGAATCTGCTGGATTTCACCCCTGAACAATAGGCAGTTGTTTGGGCTGTTTCTGGGTCTGAACGAAAGTGCAAAAGCTTGTCACTCAAGCTCTGATTCTGCATGAGGTGTTCACTTGCCAAGGAGACATACCAAAATGCTACTCCCTGGTTCCATGATTACGAATAAAACCATTTCCTCCTAATCCTGGCCTTGCAATCCCAAAAGCAGTGCTGTTAGCCACAAGGCAAAGTGACACAGATCTTAGAAGGAGAAGTTTTGGAAATGAGGACAAAAGGCATAGACTGAACGACACATTTATCTGATCCATGGCAGACACCCCCTCCTGAAATGGAGAGGATGAATGCACAAAGGTATCACTTGCCTTTCAAACCTCCTGCTTACTGAAGTCATGCAAGCTTCAATGTATTTTTCCCTAAACCAGATTTTTACATCATTGTATCTAAGACGATAGCCAAATATGGATTCTCTTCATATTATAGATATATTTCATTTCACAGGGAAGAAATTGAAAAACCAATGACCGTGGAATTGTCTCCTATCAAGAAGGAAGTTTTTTTCTGTATTAGTGTGGTCCCTTTGTTGACTCACCAATTACTTCCAGAGATTTTATACACAGACATACAGAACAGGAGAGGGAGTGCAAAACTTTCTGCAGTCATCCACTTAAAATTATTATATGGAGGATTAATGGCTGCATAACCGGTAATTAAGCAGCAATAGGGCAAAAGCCACACTCTTACCATTATAGATCGAAGGCCTCTAGCTCCCGTCTTGCGGTCCAGAGCCAATCTGGCTATTGCCTTTAAAGCATCCTCCGTGACGTTTAATTCACACTGTAAGACATAAGATTATAGACATTTGAAGAATGCTGCATTTTCTAATGCTTTGATTTTTTTCCCCTCTCCCATGAGAATTGTAATGGACATAAAGGCAAAATAGATACTGTCACTACAGGTCATTCTTAAGCTTATGACAATTGAGGCCAACATTTCTGTTGCTAAGCCAGAGTTGTTCAAGGAATTTTGCCCCATTTTATGACCTTTCTTGCCACTGTTGTTAAGTGAGTCGCTGTAGTTGTTATATGGTGGTTATAAGTGAATCTAGCTTCACCACTGACTTTGCTTGTCAAAAGGTCGCAAAAGGGGATCCCGTGACCCCGGGACATTGCAACCTTCATAAATATGAATCAGTTGCCAAGCGTCTGGATTTGGTCATGTGACCACGGGGGATGCTTCAACGGTCCTAAAAACTGTGGGAAACGGTCATAAGTCACTTTTTTCAGTGCTGTTTCAACTTTGAAAAACATCACTAAACAAAATGTTGTAAATCAAGGACCGCCTGTAATGACACAAGAACAACTTCATAAGAACTCAAAAGAAGGAGATGCTGATTGGCTGCCCTGAAAAACCGATGTCCATCAGTCATGGCATAGTCAAAAATAACAGAAAACAGCAATAATAGACATAAAGATAAACCTAAATTATACTTACATTTTTATATTACTTTAAAAGGGGATTATGAATCATAAGGGATTATAATTATAGTCTGATGAAAAAAAGGACTACGGGAGACATGATAGCAGTGTTCCAATATCTCAGGGGCTGCCCCAAAGAAGAGGGAGTCAAGCTATTCTCCAAAGCACCTGAAGGTAGGACAAGAAGCAGTGGGTGGAAACTAATCAAGGAGAGAAACAATTTAGAACTAAGGAGAAATTTCCTGACAGTTAGAAGAATTAATCAGTGGAACAACTTGCCTCCAGAGGTTGTGAATGCTGCAACACTGGAAGTTTTTAAGAAGAGATTGGACAACCATTTGTCTGAAGTGGTGTACGGTTTCCTACCTAAGCAGGCTAAGCAGGGGGTGGGACTAGAAGACCTCCAAGGTCCCTTCCAACTCTGTTAATCTATTCTATTACCCTTCAACCTCACTTAAAATCAATCCACTCTATGAGCAACCCAAGCTTGATCCAAAAGAAATAACTTGTTATCATAAGAAGACACCCCAGGAGGCAAAAGGGAAGTCAACCTTGTCCATGCTGAATAACGCCTGGTATTGGGGAATGACTGCATTCCGGGGCTCTGTAAGTATCCGCACAAGAGTTTTCTCATCCAGGCTGTGGAGGGGAACGACCACCGGTAAGCGTCCCACAAATTCAGGGATCATGCCAAATTCAATCAGATCCCGGGCTTCGACGTGCCGAAGCAAGCGGTCTTTCTCTTCCATCTCTTGCTCAGAATTGGACTCACTGCTCAGATTAGCTAAATCGGCGGCAGCTGCGGCTCTTCTGCCTTTCCCCAGATTTGACGAGGCGCCGAAGCCGAGATACTGCAAGGCAAAACGTTCTGCTTTTAATAACAAAACCAAAGCTAATGTTTCGTTTTGGGGTGTGTGAAAATACATTGCAGGAAATTATACGAAGCGAATATGGTAGGAATCAGCATTTAGCTAAGGATCTTTTCCAAAACTGATGGGATAGAGGAAATCCTCTATTGTACGTAACCCCTTTCAGTAGATTTTGAACACAACCGAGAGAACATGAAGTCAAGCCTGTTTTACTGAATCATAAAATCCACCGGTTTATAAATTAGACTGTATGTTTACAGACTTCATATAATTAGTAAATTTACATACAGAGATATTCAAATGTAATATTCAATGTTTTCCCCTATTTGGTTTGCAAAACTGAGGTTTAATTGTTGTCATTCCTTTTTTTTTTCATGAGAAGTTTAGAGAGAGCTTTCAACAAAATCAACAAATCAGTCTAAATTGGATATTAGCTTGTCCAGAAACTTCACAGCAGGATTCAAATCCAATTTTTCCATCTGAAAGCCATAGATAAACAACTTATGTCCAAAAGAAGTCATTACAGCAACTAAAGTACAAGATAGTTTTCATCTTCCAGACAATGACAGCATTTCTCCTAAAAAGGATATGGTTATTAACGAATATTCTCTTCTGTTGAATTAACAAATATTTAGAGTGCTGGATGCAAACTGTCAGGCATCATGACATCTTGAAGACATTTCTGACTGGAAGCTTATAATTTAGATACTTTTGTACAAACAGTGCCTACTGATCACATGAAAAGTGTACAATCTGGTGTCTCTTTGTGGTTTAAGGTAGTCTGGGAAAAATACCTGGCAACAAAAAATAGATGCTTGATGGTTTCAATTAATGTACAATATTAAAAAGTTGGCATAACATTTTCAATGTTGAGTTGGACTATTTCTGTAAACCTTTATTCTCCTCGTGAAGGGCGCAACACCTCCTTTATTCACCTGTTCTTATAACGCATCTATTTTTTCTCCTAAGTGACATATATATTTTAAATTTAAAAACCTTTGATATTACACATAATTATTTAATGCATTGCATTATGCTTTTAGCAAAACAGACTGCAATACTCTAAAACGTGGCCATTGTACAGTCTGTTTACTCTAGAGCCATGATGGCAAACCTATGGCACCCATGCCACAGATGGCACCCAGGGCCCTCTCTGTGGGGACGCCAGCCATCGCTCCAGTCCAGCTCCACCACGCATGCATGCGCGCCTCCCGCCAGCCAGTTGGTCTTTAGGTCTTTGCCGCTCATGCATGGGGTGCATGCGTGGGATGCGCGCGCATGTTCTGGGGCGAGATGCATGCTCAAGAGGCGCATGCATTGCATTTTGGGGCTTCACGCGGCCTCCTGTGCCCTGTTTTGGCTTCCAGGTTGGCACAGGCGGCCTTCCAGGCCCAAAATGGGGCACAGGGAGGGGGGGCATGTGCAGGGGGGGGGCACATGTGCATGTGCGGGGTCACGTGCGCATTGCATTATCTTTCGGCACGCGACAACAAAAAGAGAGCCTTGGTGGTGCAGCAGACTAAAGCGCTGTTAAGTAGCACCAGCTGCCTGCAATTACTGCAAGTTCAAATCTCACCAGGCTCCAGGTTGACTCAGCCTTCCATCCTTTCGAGGTAGGTAAAATGAGGACCCGGATTGTGGGGGCAATAAGCTGACTTTGGATAAAAAAAGAACATCGCTTGCCCCCCCTGCCCCCCCCGAAAGCCCTACTAAGCAGGTATATACAAAATTGTGAAGGCTATTGCTTAACGCATTGCAAGCTGCCCTGAGTCTCCGGAGAAGGGCGCCATATAAATCAATCAATCAATCAATCAATCAATCAATCAATCAATCAATCAATCAAACAAACAAACAAACAAACAAACAAATAAATAAATGCTTAGCCATCAGTGCTCTAGAGCAATCTGGATGCTTGACAATAAATTTGTGGGTGAAAATACAGCCTTTTAAGCTTCAATATCCCATTTTTAATAGTGGTCTCCAAAATGAACTCCAGCACCCACTGCATTTAAAACAGGAGAGCTTTGAACCCTTACTGAATGATCCTCAAACCTAGTTTTCCATGTTAGCTGAACGGAATGATACCTTTGCCTTTTAATGGTGATCTCCGGAAGATATTAGCAGAGTTCTATTCTTTATACAGCTAAAGCATGCAATTTCCTTACCTTTTCATTTTTCCTCCGGCTGATGATTCTATCCAGACCATTAAATGCACCAGAAGCAACGAAGAGGATGTTGGTTGTATCAACTTGCACTGTTTCACCACGTAATTTGCGGGAATTCTTCTCTGGAACATTCACAATGGTACCTTCCAGTAATTTTAACAACCCCTGTGTAAAGACAGGAGAGGCCTAAGCAACACATTCATTCTTAAAAACATGCACTGAACACCTTACAAATTCAGGGAATTTACAATAGTGACTAATTGGAGCCTATAGGAACCTGTCGAACAGGCACTGAATGAATGTAATTACACAATTGTCCTTCCGTTTCCTGCAACAGGCCTTGAGAGGCAAATCAGAGAGTTCCAACAGTAGAAAATGTGTGTAGCTCAGGGAACTGTGGAGTCTTTTGTGCTCTCTGAGCTTAGTTGTTCTCAGACGTTTTATTACCCAACTAGGTAATATCTTCAGTGGGAGTGAGTGTAGGATTTGCTCAAGGTACAGAAGCTTGCTCTGCCAGTTTTGGTAGGCGTGTGGTTTTCTCCTACATAAAGGTGCATGAAGGGGTGTGATGAACTGCCATAAGCATCATCAGTGCCAAGTGTCCCATCTTTTAGTGTTCACTCCCATGAGAGTGTTAAGAAGGGGGGGAAAAACCTGATAGGTAGCTTAGAAAATAACTTCTGCTTCAGTCTTGCACCTCCCAGGGAAATAAAACTGGTTCTTCTCTCAATCAGGGCGGGAATTTGATAATAACTGAAATTACTTCATTGTTGAGAAGCTAAAATCTCCATACTTACTTGTTGAACCCCTTCTCCTCCCACATCCCGTAACTGGTGAATGCCTGGAACGCTGCCAATCTTATCCACTTCATCCAGGAAAACAATGCCTGAAAATTAGAGGCAGTTGAAGTGAGGAGCTTTTGAATTACACAAATACAATTAGCACACAGGGAACCCCTTTTCCCCCTCCCCCCAGGATGGTAGTGACTGGGGGTGGGGGGGGAGAGAAAATGCTCCCTGGGGCCAGTGGGGGGGTTGCTACCGGTAGCGGCAGTGGTGGGAGTCTCCGCCCTCCCAGACGCTTCTGCGCATGCGCAGAACCATTGCGCATGCGTGCGAGTGTACTGGTAGCAAACTAAATTGAAACCCACTACTGCCTGGGACATATGCTTGAAATAAAAAGAGGTGGTCAAAGATAACGGGAAAAAAAAAACCATTAAAAAATTCTGGTTCAATAATAGCAGAGTTATAAGGTGCAATCCAAAGGTGCTTTTTCAAGAGGCAACTGGATTTTCTTGTTTTTTTTTCTTTGAAGACTTTCTCTTCTCAGCCAAAAATCTCTTCAGAAGTGAGCAAGCTTCTTGGATGAGAAGCAAAACATCTTCGAATAAAAAACAAGGAAGTCCGGTTGCCGCTTGAAAATGCACCTTTGGGACAATCCTGACCTGGATGACTGAGAAACTCCACAGGCATAAGGAGTAGCCCTTAGCTATGCTTTGAGGGAAGAGCACGGGAAGTGGTTTTACCTTGCTGAGCCTTTTCTACGTTGTAATTTGCGTCCTGCAGCAGCTTTGCAATGACAGACTCAATATCTTCTCCGACGTAACCAGCTTGAGTCAAAGTGGTACAATCACAGATTGCAAAAGGGACATCCAGGCACTTGGCCAAAGTCTGGGCCAGCAGAGTTTTACCTATTTGTTATTTAAAAAAAAAAATCTGTTAGTGCAAATCACAGAATTGGAGTTTCAAACGCATTTTATTTTGCCATGGAAATAACAATTACCAGTTGGGGCTGCGATTATTCTAACTGCAAAAAACCCCAATACATTGTAACAGTGGTTCTAAACCTGGGGTCCATGGACTCCGGAGGGGGGGGTGCGTGTGTGATGTCATCACAGGGGGTCTGCAAAGGCTTGAAAAAGTGTGATGATTTAAATCTTGAGTTAAGTCTTGGGGGTCTGTGGCCACAAAAGGTATTTAAAACGGGATCCATAGTGAAGAAAAAGTTGAGAACCACTGCATTAACATGGTTAACAGCACACACTGATTTTAAAAAAATTACAGGGATTTGTCATGTACGTTTGTCATCTACATATACAGCAGTAGATATAGCAAGAGCCTTGGTAGTACAGTGGTCTAAGGCACCCTGTTATTAACACAGCTGCCTGCAATTACTGCAGGTTCGAATCTCGCCAAGGCTCAAGGTTGACTCAGCCTTCCATCCTTTCTAAGGTAGGTAAATTGAGGACCCAGTTTGTGGGGGCAATAAGCTGACTTTGTATAAATTTACAAAAGAATGAAGGCTATTGCTTAGCGCATTGTAAGCCGCCCTGAGTCTCCGGAGAAGGGCGGCATATAAATCAAAATTAAATATATATATATATATTCTTAATATCACATCTAAGTTCTTGAACTTTAAGTTATCACTACCATTCTGGTATTCAAGAGGACTTCTTTCTCCTATGCTGACCAGCCATGCCAATCCTGTTTATCACTGGCCGATAAATACGAAGGGCCCCCATTACAAGGTTTACGAGCTCTTTGTATTAAATCCAAATTAGCTTTTAGAGGAGCAAATCCTAATTGGATTTCTGGAACAAGAGGTGTTTAGAAAGCCGCAAAAGAGATGGTATGATTTATAGGCAGAGAAACGCAGGGAAGCAGAGGCGACTATTATTTAAAAGGCAAACTGCACGATCATAAAAACATCATCAACTAAGCTGAACTATTCTTCATGCAGCAGAAATAAACATTTTTTTTTCCTATATTTTGGGCTAAAGAAGAATTTTGTTCAGTTTGGAAGGTATTTATTTTTCTCAATGCATAGTGGAAAACTGTCTGTGTGGGCTAATGGTATCCTTGTAGCGATAGTGGACTGAAGCTTTCCAATCGCTTCTTGCTATTGGGGAGGGAGACTGTCCAGCAGCAGAGAGACAGGGATGCAGGAAGCTGCACAGAATTGAAAAAAATCTTTAAAAATGTGCTGCCAAATATCTATAAGGCCAGCTGAGTAGTATTAGGGCCAGCTGACCCACTCATGCTACAGGAAAGCTTCTGTTCCTTTCTACCAGTTTATTCAAACTTCATTTACTTTATTAAATGTAAATAAATGTTTATGTACATAAATAAATATACATTTACTGTATGTGCTTTATATACATTTATTTATGTGCTTTCAACTAAATGTGCTTCATACTTTTTTTTTATTCATTCTTTTACTGCTTTAAAAATGTTGACCAAAAAGAAACAGAACAAAACAACATAAAAATATATACACTGTCAAAGAAAAGAAAAACCACACAATGTTTTTAAAATAAAAAAGGGAAAGAAAAAAGTATATCATTTTAACAATAACTATTTACAATTCTGTATAAAGTTAACTAATGCAATTATTATTCAAGTAATACTGCATATCTCTAGTACATTTATGCAACTCCCATATTTTTAACCTATTGGCTTTGTACAATACTTTCTAAATTTGATTTATGGTCCGACAGGGCTTACACACCTGAGCCGGTTGGTCCAAGCAGCAGAATATTGCTTTTTTCGAGCTTGATGTCATCATGGGCAGAATCTAACACTTCACCACCTCGTTTTTCTGGAGGCATCTGTTGATTCACCTGCTGCTGCATGGATGCCCCTAAAGCATTGCCGTGCGGACTAATGCCAGCAATCTGGAGAAGTTCTGAAATACACAAACATTCCACAAACTGAGAAATGAAGTGACTTGATGGGCCATACGGTGTGCACATTTGCAATTCCAAGCATTCTGCCATTTGCCTGAAAGTTACCAGAGAGAAGACCATTAGAAGCCAGTCTTGCCGCACAATAGCTTAGTTAAGACACCTCAAAACATCATGGATTGCTTTAACCTTGACTGTTTGAATTGGGGGTAACAGTGCAGTTCACATTCAACGCTAAGCCATTAACCGTGGTTCATTAACCACAACAGCTGCGCTTGCAAAACATGCTAACTCACAGACAAACAAACATTTGGTTCAGGTCAAGGGAGGATTTAAGTTCTAACAAACGGTTTAACAACGCAAGGATGTTCTATTTAAACCAAATAAATAATTCAGATTTCCACAAAAATGACTGCTAGGCATTATGCCATTACGAAATACATTGAAATATTTATTCTGCAAGAAATTAAAACACATCTCTGGTTTCTCTTCAAATCGTGTAAATCTTTCACAATAAAGTTAGGGGAAACATTTTAAGAAGTCCAAATATTCCTGGCAACCCTATACATGTAATATTGCATCCTTTTTTTAAAGATTAATTCAGAACTTTGTGCCTTTCCATTCATTCATCACAGGTCCCTGGAGTGTCCTCGCATTCTAGTTTGGGCATCGTTAATGTAAAATGAGAAAACAGCAACAACAGGATAATAGGTTCCATAGCCTACATGGAAATATTTAAAAAAATAAAATCCTTAACAGATTTCAGCTGGTATAAACCTGAGGAATTATTCATTTTATCTCTCCTTGTTATTTACTTTGTGTTTATTTACCCCAAGTAAACATTTACTACAGTGGGGTAAAGAGGACAAATTCTGATTACACTTGAGAACCTTCTCAAAAAACACAGAGCTCTGAACATCACTGAAGTATCTGTATCTGAATAGAACCACTGCAGTCTGCAGAAAAAGGTTCGCAATTAAATGCTTTTCTAGCCAATAAGTGTATCTTTATGCATGGAAATTAAGCAATTAGGTAAATACATAATCTGGTCTCTTTGTATATATATGAATGCTGAGGAATCATTCTTCACATCAATGCCCTTTTATCAGCTGCGGGTTAAAAAGTGGCAAGGTTGAGACACAAATTCACCTTCACAGCGAAAATGGGGCTCAGGTGTCTGGTTGCCAAATGAACACATGATGGAGTTGTAATGTTTCTTCACAGCTACAGTTTAAATGCTACTCGTGGTTAAAATAAAGGGGGGGGGAGAGATATTGCAGAGGAGGCCATGAGGAGAGACCACTTACTTGTAAATCTGTACTCATCCTCCCGTCTTCTTATCTCTAATTCTAAGAGACAGGATGAAAATAGTAATATGATGGAGACAAGAGATAGAGATATATTAAAAAGCACTACATTTTCTTCACCTCTTGCCCTCTTCCGAATACAGATTTATGGAACAACGGACTTCACTGACAGCTAGGAAAAGACATGCTCACACCCACACACACACATATACACTCACCAGTGAAATAAGTTACAATTTTATATAGCAGCTTATAACGACACAGAAGACTTGCTAATACAAACATCTACAGTTTTGCCATGGCAATAGCAATGAAAAAAAAAAAAAGAAAAGTCTAGAGCATTTTATCGTGTGCAGGTAGTCCTCAATTTACAACCATCCATCTAGTGACCGTTCGAAGTTACAAAAGTGCTGAAAAAAATGGCTTATGGCCATTTTCACCCTTACAATCTATGGTCAAAAATGTGATCAAAATTCGGATGCTTGTTAACTGGTTCACGTTTTATGATGGTCGCAGTGTCCCCGGAGGTCACGTGATCCCCTTTTACGACCTTCTGATAAGCAAAGTCAACGGGGAAGCCAGATTTACTTAACAACCGTGTGACTAATTTAACAACCATAGTGATTCGCTTAACAATGGTTGCAAGGAAGGTCGTAGAAAGGGGCAAAACTCACTTAACAACTGTCTTGCTTAGCAACAATTTTGGGCTCAATGTTGGTCGTAAGTCGAGAACTATCTGTCATAAAGGTCTACCCAGAAAAAAACGTTCTGCTGAATTCAATAGGATTTCTTCCCAAGATTTCAGTCTGCCACACGGCATAAAAATGGGAAAATATTACTGTATAGTGGTATCAGATAGTGCCAAAGAAGCCTTCATATTGAAGTTTAAAGAACTTAGTAGTTCTACTTCTATATTATAGCAAATCCCTAATGCCCTTTTTAACATCAGTATAATTATAGGAAATCAAATGTTTCGATAAATAATAAAGTCATCTACTCTCGTGGTGACTGCAACAATTCCATGAATTTTTAAAATGGTAGTACTGTTTTCTGTCCTTCCTTGTAGCTGGAAAGAAGATTTGTATTAATCTGTTTTTTTAATTTGTTAATAGTAGTATGTATGCCATGCTGAAAATAGCTGTGTTGGCTTTTTATTACTGCTTATAGTAGAATCAAAGATATCTGAACTGCTTATCCTATTCGGCATTCGGTATCCATAAATTCCTGAGGTGGATTTATTTGCAAACACCTAAAAGAATTCCAGCTGTTAGTTCCTATGTGTTGGAAGTACAGAAAACTAATATAGATATTTAAAGCAGCTTTTAAGATATTTTTAAAAAATGGGAAAGAAAAACTGCAACAGAGGAATGCAGTAAAAAAAATTGGACTGCTCTCATTCCATTTGAAGATCTGTTTTTTTACCTCAAAAAACCTGTATTTCAATTTGATTTTTTTCAAAAAAATAAATTCTCCCCTCATTTTCTTTTCTGTGGCCTCTTTTAGATAGATGTTTTCTACCTTTTTTCTGCTTTATTTTATTTTTTATTTTAAGTTATTAAGCAAGCCTTAGGGCTAATCAGGGGGACAACCGTTTTAACAAAACAAGCACTATTTAAGGGCTAACTTGCAAAATTAAACAAAAAAAAAAAAAGGGGGGGGGAATAACCAGTACCAGTTATCTCCTCCTTGTGTAAGTGAGCTATTAATAGCAACAGTCTTTGCACTTCTTTTTAAACAGTCATTTGCACGTGGACCACAGTAGGGAAGATTGTGCCAAACTGTTCCTGAACGCAACGTAAAAATACTCTACCAACCTCTTGGAGTCAGAGAAGCTTGTTTCTCAACTTCGGCTTGTTGCCTCAGGTTGGCAGGGATGTTGTTGTAGATTCTCTTGTAGTGATTGTACACGGCAACTGAAAGCACCTTCTTTGCAAAACACTGACCAACAACGTATTTGTCGAGGTAGTTATAAATCTAGCAGAAAAAAACCAAGAGATCCTCAACAATAACAAGGGGCTTCATTAATAGAGATAAGAAATAAAAAATTCAGGGGGAGGGGAGAGGGGAGGGGAGACCTGACTGCTAAGGCTTCAGGACTGTTATTTATCTTTCAGCTTCTGTTGAGATTCAATGATTTCCTTTCTTCGCAACTGTGAGCTTTTAAGATTCCTTGTCTCCACCATTGCTTTGGGGTAGGGAGTTGACAATGTGGTTTTTTTTATTAAAAAAAATGATGGGAAGGCTCTCAGATGGGAACTGCACCAAAGACTCTTTTTTTCTAAAGCTTTTTCAAAACTATAGAGCTTAAAATATTTCAGGAAAACTATGGGGGGCCTACAAAACTAGGAAAGCCAAGGAGGTATTTTTGGAAACCGAGATGATTTTCTTCTTCTTCTTTCAAAGTGCAATTCTTAGAAAAATTGAGAAAGTGTGAGATGGCACCAGTACTTTAAAACGGGTCTTGGAAAACGTGAGGAATGGAAACAAACTTTGGGATGGACATGAAGTGTCACATAAAATATAACAGAAAAACAGAACAGAATAGATTGGAAGGGATCCTGGAAGTGTTCTAGTCCAACCCCCTGCTTAGCAGGAGACACTACGCCAGGGCTGTCAAACTCCCGGCCAGCGGGCTGGTTGCGTCATGCGACAGCCACGCCCATGCCCGGTTTAGTGAAGGGCGAAAAGAAGTCCCGAAAAGTCACGTGTCGATGTCATGATGACATGAGTTTGACACCCCTGCACTACACCATTCCAGACAAATAGTTGTCTAGTCTCTTCTTAAAAGCCTCCAGTGATGGACCACCCATAACTTCTGAAGGAAAGCTGTTCCACTGATTAATTGATGTCACTGTCAGGAAATTTCTCCTTACTTCTAGGTTTGGCCTCTCCTTGATTAATTCCCATCCACTGCTTCTTGTCCTGCCTTCAGCTGCTTTGTGGTAGATATTGGAACATTGCTATCGTGTCCCCTTCTTTTCACTAGACATACCCAATTCCAGCAACCGTTCTTTGTATGTTTTAACCTCCAGTCCCCTAATCATCTCTGTTGCTCTTCTCTGGACTCTTTGTAGAGTCTCAATGTCTAGAAGAAAGGGTAGTATGATTTCACAAGAGATGGTAGATTAAGGGCCCAACTAAGGAGGATGGACAGCCACAGGCTAGGGTAATTTAGATGATCCATTTAAATTAAAAAAAGCTTACAATATGAAAGAGGTGATGTCCCCTCAGCTAAGGTTAATTGACTGTACCTTCTTGGGTGGAGGTGGTGGCTTCTGTTGGAAGGCCAATTTTACAGCTTCTGCCGCTGTCTCTGGCTCTTTAAGGATGCTTTTCTTGGAGTCGGCTTCTGACAACACAACGAAGAAATGGTGGCATTTTTCACATTTCACAAAGCGGGTGGAAGCTGCAAAAAAGTAGAATTAGAACCTGCTTGGCAACAGCTGGTTTTCCAACCAGGCAAGTTAAACAGTTGGTTTGAAATACAGTGCTTACAAAATGAGTTAACAAGTCCCTTTAAAATAAGGGTAGGAAGAAGGAGAATAGACCTTGGTCCACAGATGGCCCCCTCAAAACTCAATTTGACAGGTTTGATGTCAAAAGCACTGATTTTTCTTAGTATGAACCTCCCTAACTAAAAAACTTCCTGGAGCCAATTTCACAAACTTCTAATAACAGACAAAGACTAAGTTCCAGCCATGCAAATCCCAATTCCAGTTTCTCCTGAAAAGCCCCAGGCCGTGTAGCACTGCCTTTCTGCACATAAGAGATTAGTCACAGGAAAACTACTGTTTGATACCTGTGTACTTTCATAAGGTTTTTGAAAACGATCACCCAGAAAATTGGCTTTTCATCTACTTGAAAACTACGTACGTTGTGACTGCAGTGTATTTATTCCTACTGTGCCATGCACATTCTTAGACAAAGGGATGACATCATATATATTTACACAGACTTCTGTACAGCAATTTTCAGGATCAATGGCCATTGTTCTAAGTGATGGTTGAGATGGCAAGCAAATACTCCCTTTCCCATTGTTTAAAGTTATCATAAAGCATGATTCCCAAATATTTTAAACAATTCCCAAAACGTTTGGAACCTTCAGCTGGACCTAATGAGGCACCCCCAGGCTTTTTTTCTGGTGCTTATAAATCAGAAAATTTAACTCTTGATTATCCAGAATTTCCACTGCCTTCCCAAATGCTTTTAAATTCAATTCAAGACCTGAGCTTAACTTTTAAAGAACTAAGTATTTGGGAACTAACTCAATTTATTCCCATATAACCCCCTCTAGGATCACAAGGACTTTGCTCTCCAGCTCATCTGGAGATTGAACTTAAAAGTTAAAAGGAAAAAAAAAACGTTCCTCAGTATCATTGCAGCTTTGGCACCATGTCCTTTAATGGTTTTAGGATGTCTTTTGTGCCTCTTCTACGCGAAACTGACCAAACCTAAATTTTGATAGGATCTTTAACACATTTGGAAGACTAGAATGGCTTGTTGTAAACATTAATGGAATTTTGGTATTACATTTGGAATTCTTTACTTGTCTTTATGCTTCAAGTGTTAGATATATCTTACATGATTACTGATTATATAATGTGGTACATTGTATGGTTAAATCATTAATTTTGCATACCAGATATTTCCTGTAAATGAGAGGGATATAAGTGAACTATTTGGAGGTAATTTAGACAACTCCATGAAGTCAAGCATAATATGGAACACCAAATCTATTCTACTTTCTAAGTGAAATTCAGTTTTATTTATTCATTTGAGAACTATGGGTTTGGGTATGGGATTTGTTTTCCAGCCGAACACACTGAAGTAGGGAAAAAAATGGTCCTTCAATAGCCATTGTCCAGATGAATGTTTCGAATCCTATTCCAAAAGAGACTGGCAAAAACAAAGACCACAGATCTCTGCTGGAAACTCTGTATTACACCACAATGCTTGACAAAGCTTGCTAATCCTGAAATCCTGACTGTACGTGGTAGTGACCAACAAGTATGGAGTTTAGGTTACTGCCGATATGCACTAGGAGATCTCATTCAGGTACAAGCTCTTGTCTAAAAATGTTTTTTATTTCTTGCTTCTTGATAAGAGGTCACCACAGCATTCTACTCAAACCATTTAGGTGGCTGTCATTAGCACAGCTTCTTCTTTTTTTTTGCTGCTTGGATTAATATTAATATTTATGACATGCTTTTAAGAAAATCTGGTGTGCTTTAACATTTTTAGTATGGCATATCAGTCAGAGGACTTTAGTAAAACCGCTGCCTTGTTCACATTCTAATCTACTTCAGAAAGCGGCTATGAGATAAACTTTCGTTTGTCCCCTGAATTCTTATGAAGGTAGGAATATAAATAGATAAAAAAACCTTAAAATTCATTTCATTGAAAGCTTAAAGTCCTGTGTTAAAAAAAAAAAGCTAGTTCTCGCAGATAATCAGTTTCTAAAACCTGAACTTATCTATTTCCAACAATCTTAAACTCCAGGAGGACATAAATTTCGATTTATGATGCCACTTGAGATACCAGAAAAAAAATCACATAAAAGATTTTTTTCTGGTCATGTTGAAAGATTGGTTAGTGAGTAAGCCTCTATAGTGATAAAGCACAATTTTGGGACGTGCAATACATGTCCCACCCCTTGGGTGGAAGGAAACTGCCACATAGCAATTAATGCAAAGACACCAGTAATTAGAGCTAATAAACATGACTCCACAAATTGCAGCGTATCACACACAAAGCCGATATCTTGCATGGTAGAACAAAATCACTCTGAAGTTAGCAAGAAAGAGGAAAAAAATGATTTAAGAGATCAAGATCCAAGCACATTATAAAGATTACCCAACATCAGGGCTTCTGATGCAGGTTGCACTGACAACTCTTAAGAAGATCAGATAGCTGATGACTATGCAGTTGATAAACAAGCTTGAGTATTTACCCTCCATTAAACTCTTTGATTAGGACCTGCTGAATCAGCAAATAAAAGAGAAGGACCAAAACAGCACAAGGGCGTGGTTTGTTTAAATGGTAATATGAAGCTGTGTTATTAGTACCTGTGTTTCCCTGAAAATAAGACCATGTCTTATATTTTTTTTGCTACCAAAAAAATGCACTAGGTCTTATTTTCGGGGGGGGGGATCTTCCACTGACTCACCTCACTTACGTGCATTACTCCTGGCCTCCTTTTTGCTGTCAGAGGCCTTCAGGAATTTCTTCTTCTGCGGCCGGCAAGGCTTTCCTGAAGGCCTCTGCAGCCGATAACAGAACTCTGGATCAATGCGGAGCTCTGTTATCAGTTGCAGAGGCCTTCAGGAACGCCTTGCTAGTTGCAGAAGAAATGGGCCGGCAAGGCAGGTGCCGAGGTGTGCGAGGCCTGGCTGCAACTGTCTGAAGGTAAGTAGTAGCTCCACACACACACATCCTCACCCTAGCTTAATTTTTACCTGTGCACTCTGGAGTGGGCGGAGTCTTAATTAGGGCTTATTTTGTTGGATAGGGCTTATATTGGGTGCACATGTAAAATCAAGCTAGGACTTACTTTTGGGGTAGGTCATATTTTCAGGGAAACACAGTAGTTGTTATTCTAAACTCTGAATGTTAAGCGGTATGGTACTTATTTCCACTGCATTCAGGAATCAGTGTCTAAACTTCTTTGCAAAATGACTGGCATTCAGGACGGATTAAGTGTAGCACCTTGAGCAAATAATGCATTATTATTTTTTTTTTTGCAAAAACCGAGAAAGTCAGAAGATATGTCTTCTAGAACTTACAGACGAAAGTCTCCACGTGTGTGCATAAATCACCGCACTTTGGGCATCGCAACTGGCTTCCACCTTTTCCTGAGCTTCCGGAACTTGACTTTTTACCACCGCCTTCCCCAGCAGTTTTCTAATTAAAAGAAAGAAAAAAAGAAACAGGACCTTGAAAGTCAGAAAATAGATTTATAATTAGCTACCGGCTAGTCCTCGACTGATGAGCACAACTGAGCCCAACATTTCTTTTGCTGAAGATAATTAAGCGAGCTTTGCCCTATTTTACAATCTTTCTTCTCACAGTTAACACAGTTCTGACTTTCCTTGTCAGAAGGTCGCAAAAGGGGAGCACATGACCCTGAGACATGTAGCTGTCGTAAGTATGAACCAATTGCCAAGCATCCAAATTTTGATCATATGACCATGGGCTTACTCCAACAGACGTGCGAAAACTAAGCATAAGTCACTTTTTGTCAGTGTTGCTGTAACTTCGGTCGCTAAATGAATGGTAATAAGTCACGGACCACCTGTACATCTTTCGCTACTTTGAGATCAGCAATTACTCTCCCCTCCACACAAAGGATTGTGATCTCTACTTGTAATCTTGCCTTCCCTTTCTCTCTCAAACTGCGTGTTGTGTTCTTTAAAATCCAAACTGTTCTGCCCCAGCTACATACCCCAAATAATGCAGCACACACAAAGTCTATACAAACCTTAGTTTACTAAATAAACCAGTATTTTACAACAACGGCTGTTAATTAACTGCATTAACAGCCTCCAAGAATTCAAAGAATAATAACTGAAAGCTTACTATGGTTGGCAGAATGCCCAGAAGCAATTTGCAGGAGGCTGATAAGATAAGCAAGACAAGACATGAAGGTATGTGAACGAAGTTGTTCCCTGCAAATTGCCTCAGTCGGCGTTCCTCCTTAAATAGGCTAAGGGAGTGGCCAATTAGCCCCAAGCCTTACTCTCGAGGAGACCTCCTCCTGAGGAGCCACTCCTGCCTTTTGGCAGCTCCTGCCTTTTGGCGCGCCGGTGCATTGAGGAGAGGCTCCTCCTCTTCTTCTTCTTCACTTAAGGGAGCTTCTGGAGGTTCTGAAGGCCCTGGCTGAATCCCCGCCTCTGGCACCACATCTTCTCCAGCCTCCTGTCTGACTCGAGTGCCAGCTGCACAGGCTGCTGACGCACACCAGCCTCCTCGCTGTCTGAATCAGCTACTAGCTGCACAGGCCGCGTATGGGCCACAACACAAACGTAACAGCACATGTCCACAGTGAAGCAGAGACCCCCACCTGTCACTGAAACTGGCATCCTCAGTGAATGCTTAAGTGTCATCATTCACTTGAAGATGTTTCTGATTCAAATGGATCAAGGGAAAAAAAAGTTCCTAAACCTGCCCAAAATTCAACAATTCACATTCTGTAAACAGTAATGTATGTATTAGGGAATCTCCTTCAGTTCCTTTCCCTACTGTTAAACCTACTCATTTGCTTCCTCCTCAAGTCAGTCAAGCCAGCCTGTCAAAAAGAGTGCACAGGAACAAGTGGAGAACACTTCTCCATTTTCTTTTTCAGTACACAGCCAAGGGAAATGGGACCAGGAAACTCTCATCGTTGGCAAAAAGCTTAAGTGGAAGGTGCCAGCTGTAGCAGATGCTCAGTGTTGTTGTTTCCTCAACAAGCCAGCCATATTTGTAAGCCAAAGATAATCTCCATGCAGAATATATCAAGCATTTAATCCGAAAAGTACCTTTGCTGAATTTTAAAAGGCACCGATTTCTAAACATGAACACTGATTGCTCAACTTAACCATTACACTGAATATTTCAACATAATTTATGCTCCAAATCACGATCTGTGCTTTTAAAAAACTCCAGACAGCAAGTTTGGGTTTAAAGTACCAGTAATTTGTCTGTGTTTAGTTTTTCATTTACTTAGCTTTATAAGATCAAAAGTCCTCTGACAGCATGAACATGTTGCTAAAATTCAGACAACTGCATTCCAAGTCACAGTTAAGGGTTTTTTTTTTATCAGTGACTTAGTTTATGGCCTCTGACCTGGTCCCTGTGTCTATCTCTCTGTACTGAATTAGATGGGAGATGACATGATTCAAGATGTCACTCAAAACATGTACATTTTTTAGCTTTACAGGCAGTCCTCAACTTATGAATGATCACTTAGCAACCATTCAAAGTTACAACGGATCTCCCGGAATGGTACTTATGACCCTGATGATTCAAAGTTCCAATAGCTATAAACTTGGGTCAGTCATGTGATGACCTGCTTCACAACCGTCATGACATAGAGCAGAGGTCTTCAAACTTGGCAGCTTTAAGACTTGTGGACTTCAACTCCCAGAATTCTCCAACCAACTATGCTGGCTGGAGAATTCTGGGAGTTGAAGTCCACAAGTCTTAAAGCTGCCAAGTTTGAAGACCTCTGACATAGAGCTATAATTCCAGACACAATTTCAGTCATAAGTCAAGGACTACCTGTGGTATGTGGGAAAGGGCTGTGTTTTTTGAAGCACAAAAAGTGTATACCTTACTGCCATCTCCCGAACCATCTTTACTTGCACCATCTTTAGAAGCAAAGTATGCTGGTGTTTCAGAAAAAGTTCTAAAAGGAATAATTCTTAGAGGCTGAGTTTCACAAGTCCCAATTATTCCTAAAGCAGGGAAGCAGGAACGGCCACATGAAATTCCTGAAAAAGGAAAAAGAAACAAGAGATTTTTGATTATTCTGTGTATCTTTTCAAATAACTTATCCCCCACTTCATGTAGTCTACTTATTGAACCTTGAACCTAAGAAGTCATTGGATCTCATTCCCTTAAGAGACTTTCTCAACGATGGCAACTTCAGACACATGGACTTCAACTCCCAGAATTCCCCAGCCAGCCCCTCCTGGATCACGAGATTGAGAGTTGAAGTCCAACCCTCTTAAACTTGCCAAGGTTGAAAACCCCTGAATTAAAGATATACAATCAAGTCCGCTCCTTCTACGGCAAATGGTTTCCTGCCTGTGCTCAAAAGGCAGACCAAGTTTATACAACACATAATGGGGGATACTTTCACAAAGTAATTTGTGCTGAGGAATAGCATCCCAAAGGGGCTTTTTCAAAAGGCAAATGGACTTTGTTTTTGGGAAAAAAACAAAGTCCAGTTGCTTTTTGCAAAAGCACCTTTGGGACAACAGTGACCTGAAGGACTGAGAATCTCCATAGACCTGAGAAATAGCATCTGTTATATATTAAGCCCCAAGCATTATTTCCCTGTAAAAGGTATTTTCTTCTTCTTTTATTATGGAAAATTTTAAGATGACCAACAGTCCCAAAGCAATTTATCATAACAAGAAGAGCAACATAAATGCTTACAAAAATAAATTGCCAGGGACCTTAGGAAAAGGACAACAGTGAAACATCAAGGATGTTGACAACCTTTTCCCTAGCAGAATTTAGACAGCATTCCAAAGTTTATTTACCTCAATTACAGCTTGTTAACTGGATTTGTAGACTATTGGCATTCAAATTGTCTGAGTTCCAGCATTAACTCAGAATCACACAATGGCTGTCTTTGCAGGATAATAAGTTAAATTTCTGTTTTCTTCATGAATGCTGCTCTGTTTGTGCCTTTTGATTCTAACGAACTCAAATCATGAGTCTGGCTTGCTCTTCTTTGCATAAATTAATTTCAGAAGCCTGTCTGTCTATGTGAAAGTACCCATTAATTCAGATGATGGCTAGTGCCAGGATGTCATTATACAACATTCTTCCTTTGCAAATTCAGATTCAATTTGCTACTTTGGCCCTTACAACTCAAACCTTGCAGAGACATCTGGATAGAATAGATTGTGCCTGTTTTCTATGCTTAAGAACTAGGCAGTTCTGAATTTTAGAGTACTGTACTAGTAAATATCCAATTATGCTTTTAACATAAAGGCAAAGTAATATAACTGAACTGATCCATGTCTGCAATTCTAAAAAAAAAGATTGCTCAGGACATTTTCAACTTCTGTTTTTTAAAAATGTACACTTTCCCATTTTTAAAAAATTAAGCTGCCATTTAGCAGAAAGCATAACAACTTGGTTATACACGGTGCTAGGTTGGCAACTACTTATTTACATGTTTAGTATTCTTATACTAATAATACCTGAAGTATATTTGAATATTTCAAGTGTATAATTATGATATGCCTAATAATACTACACTGGTGTATAATTATAAGGTCAGATAATGATATACTCAAATGAAAAAAGATTAATTTTAAGCCCAGTGGAATGTGATAGCAAAAGACATATAGGGAATCTGAGAACAATGCTTATAAGTACATGAAGGCAGAATAAAAGATTGAGATATGGTAATAGAAAACAATATTTATTTTCAGCTTTGATGTTAAAATAATTCAAGACAATAAGTTGCTTCTCTGTAACAGAGCAATTACCAATGATGGATGTTAGAATGTTCATTGTGCAGATGTGTTTTAGTAGGAACTAATAAAAAAAACACATACTCATGTTATTTTTGCACACATAAAGTCAGCCACCGTGGCTTTTTCAGGCAGAAAAAAACCCCAATGGCCTAGCAAAATGTGTGAACCAGTCAATATGTTGCAATACGTTGCTTGACTGTGCAAATACCATGAAAGTATGAATACACAGAACACTTTACAGATATGCCAACTAAATCCTACAGAAGCAGAATTTTTATTCATTTTTTTAAAAATTGGAGACATTACAGGCCAAACAAAATATGTTTGTTTCACCCAGATCACAGCAGCGATCGAGCAATGCCTGTCAAGCAATGCCCCAACACTAAATCCTTGAAAAATCTTTCATCAGCACAACAGAGCAAACACAATAGTTCATGAGCAATCAAAGCTCAGGATACAGACTGGGCATTATTTTGCAGTGAACATGAACCCTGATCAATCTGAAGCAATGTTACAAAGTTCTCTTCTCCACACGTAGTATTCTGGCAAGACTATTTAAGACGTAAACATTATTAAGGGCAAATTGGTATATACTTATCCAAGATTAAGTCTAATGGAAACATCAATCAATGGGGACTTACTTCTGGGTAGATAGGCATAGATCTGTCCTGTCAGAATAAAGTAGAGAAGAGAAAATATACAAATAAACAAGCAGAATTATATTTGTGGCATCGTTTCTCTACAACTCTATGAGGATAAGAAACAAGTAAAACTTTGCTCGGCTGATGAATGACCTTCCCTTTAATATTGTTTGCTCATTAATCCAAATTTGAAATACCTGAAATTGCCAATGAGTAATATGCGTTAAGACACTAAAGAATCTTATGATAGATTTAACAGCCTTCCAGGGTACAATTATCAGTTTTATGACAACAAAAAAAGTCAACAGCTACACGTAAGCAAACAAGATCTTAACAAAATTAAGCACAGATCTAGCAAAACAGAATACTGTAAACAAAAACAAAGTCAACCAAAAAAAGGGCTTCTCAGAAATCACACTGCAAATCTAGACATGTCTATGGAATTGTCAAGTTCTCACTGGGTTAAGAGGAGCTTCCACTCAAGAAAATTCAAACCTAAATAACCTCGACTTATGACCACAATTGGGACCACAATTTCTGTTGCTAAGTGACATTATTCATTCAGTTGTGTCAAACCCTTGGCAATTCTATGGCCAGGTCTCTCCACGGCATTGCTAACTAAGGAAGCTATTAAGGGAGTTGTGCCCAATTTTTCAAACTTCTTTGCCATGGTTGTTAAGTGAATCACTGCAAAAAAGTGAATCATGTGGTTGTTAAACAAACCCAGCTTCCCCACTCGCTTGTTAGAACCTGGCTGGGAAAGTTGCAAATGGCAATCACATGACCCACCCTAAATACATGTCAGTTGTCAAGTGCCACATCCTGATTGTGAAGATGCTGTAATGGTTGTAAGTGGGAGGACCAGTCGTAAATCACTGTTTGCAGTGATGTTGTAACTTCAAACTGTCACTAAACTAATGACTGCAAATCAAAAACTACCTATATATTTTACCATAATAGAATTCCACTTGCTTGGCTACTGGGGGAAATGCTAAGATAATGCTATATTATCCTGGGACACGTATGCAGATAGTCCTCAACTTACAAGACTTTGCTTAGCGACTTTGCACATAGCTTAGAACAGCGCTGAAAAAAATTAACTTATGACCATTTTTCATGCTTATGACTGTTGTAGCATCTCCAGAGTCACATGATTTACATTCAGATGCTTGACCACTGACTTGTATTTATGACGGTTGCAGTGTCCCGGGGTCATATGCTCACTTTTTGTGACCTTTTGACAAGCAAAGTCAATGAGGGAAACCAGATATACTTAACAATGGTATTACTAATTTAAGAACTGCAGGGATTCACTTAACAAATGTGTCAAGTAAAGTTGTAAAATGGAGCAAAACTCACTTAACACATTTCTCATTTAGCAAGGTAAATTTTGGATTCAACTGCGGTCATGAGGATTACCTGTGTTCGCCTTCATTCGTGAAATACTCAAGACTGGAGCATTCATCATCCTAGAGCAGCCCCACCTTAAACAGGGTTACCTTATCAGGTAGACCCTACTTTTCAGCTTATGTTTTTATTGTACAGGTAGTCCTCGACTTACAACAGTTCATTTAGTGACCGTTCAATGTTATGACGGTGCTGAAAAAAGTGACTTATGACCGTTTTTCACAGTTACGACTTTTTCAGCCTCCCCATGTTCACGTGATCAAAATTCAGATGCTTGGCAACCGGTTCATACTTAGGACTGTTGCTGCGTCCCAAGGTCACGCGATCATCCCCTTTTGCGACTTTCCGGCAAGCAAAAAAAAGTCAATGGGGACTTCACAACCTTATCCTACTGCAGGGATTCACTTAACAACGGTGGCCAGGAAGGTCATAAAAAAAACCGGGGCAAAACTCAATTTAACAAAATGTCTCACTTCACAAGAGAACTGTTGGGCTCCCTTGTGGTCATAAGTCGAGGACTACTTGCATTTGTAATGGTCGACTTCCCAGAGTTTCCCGCGCCTACAGCAAAATGGAGCAAACTGAAAATACATTTAAATTTTTAATTAACAAAACCCATCCACCTTCGAAGACAAGGATAATAAAAACAAGGACAAATGGGCTGAAAAACAGCTTCTATCCCAGGGCAATAACCATACTGAATTCTATGCTGAATGTTATAGCGCAATATAGGGTTTTCAATTTCAATTCTATAGAATATAAAGGATGCGTGTTTGCGTTTTTTATTTTTTATAGTTATAATGTACACTGAAGACGGCATTTAATTTCATTGTACCATGTGCAATGAACTAAACTAAACTAAACTAAACTAAACTCTGTGCTAAAGCAATTCTACTTGCTGTTAAACACAGAATTGGAAACAAACTGACACTCCTCCAGAACACATGAAAATAAGGAAAATCTATGAATGTGCAGAAATGGATAGACTGTCTATGGAAATGAAGGAGAGGGAAGAATCCGAGTACTATCAAATTTGGAATAGATGGTATTCCTGGCTCGAGAGCAAATGTAAAACCTAAGGCATAAGTCGTAAAGAGTATAATATATAGAATGTAAAATTTCTAAGAAATATATCATATTTGTGAATAGATATTATTATAATTTAAATAGGATATAACATAGGGATGTACATCAATAGAACCTTTGTAAATATGATTGTTACGAAAGATATGGACACCGATATGGAAAAGCTGCTGTAAGTGTAAATATGTGTTTTGTGTTTTAAATGTTGGAAAATTCAATAAATACTATACTATACCATACCATACCCCATATCTAAACTAAACTAAACTAAACTAAAATGTTAAATTAAATGTTATCTAATTCTGGGTTTTATTTAATTGACCAAACTAAGTAATAATTTTAATTAGCAATTTTATGATGTTTGTGTGTCTATATTTTTCTTGACTGTACACCACCTTGAGTCCTACGGGAGAAAGACGGTATAGAAATATAATAAATAACTCAACTCAACTCAACTCAACTCAACTCAACTCAACTCAACTCAACGCCCCTTGCTGGATGGAGGTGTCTGAGGCCCCAAACAACCACCAGAAAAGTTAAACAAATGCTGCACAGTTGTTTTTTTTGGGGGGGGGGGAGGGAGACACAGGAAAGAAAGAGGAAGGGGCTTTGCTCGAGACCAAAAAGCGACAGAAAAATTTGCACGCGCAAAAGGTGGGCGTGATTGCACGCGCAGAGGCACACCTGCCCCCCCCACGCCCCCCAAAATAAAAAAAGCAAATCAGGTGCTTCTAATCCAAAGGCTGAAGTGGGGGGGGGTTGTTGTCCTTCCTTGGGCTCACCCCGAAGAGAGCCCCCTCCTGTCAGACACACCGCCCCCCAAGAAAAGGGATCGGATTGAAGGGCCTCCTTCCCACCCAGGGCCTCCAGATGCGCGGCTGTGACTGATGGGTGTTGTAGTCCCCGCCTCAGGGACGGTAAAAAAAGGGGGAGGGGGAAAGGAAGGCGGTCGGCCGGGCTTGCTGAGGGGGGACACCGCGACTGAGGGGAATTTCTAATCCCTCCAAGAAAAGGGGATCAGATTGAAGGGCCTCCTTCCCACCCCGGGCCTCCAGATGCGCGGCTGGGACTGATGGGTGTTGTAGTCCCCGCCTCAGGGACGGCAAAAGGGGAAGAAGGGGGGGCGGGGAGGAAGGCGGGCGGCCGGGGTTGGCGGGGGGGGGACACCGCGACTGAGGGGAGGGAGGGTCCTCCTCCGGCCGGGCAGGTTACCTCGGCACGCCGACGGCAGCGACGAGCTGACGAGTCGCGCCGCAGCGGCGGCGCAGGTGCTGCATCCGGCCATGTTCCCCCGCTCCGCTCCGCTTCTCCCCGGCCGGGAAAAAGGAGAGCGAGAGAAACAGCCGCCCAAGAACCGCTCTCCGCCGCTCGGCCTATCCGCCGCCTCGGCAGCGCTCGACGGCCTGTGTGGCGTCACGGGCCTACGGCCGCTTCAGACGACGGAAGGCGGCGCGGAACTACGCCTCCCGACAGGCACCGCGCCACCCTTTCCCCGAGTGACGAGAGAGAGAGAGAGAGAGAGCGGCGCCGCCTGCCGGTCGCGCGGGAGAAAGGAAGTCTCGCGAGAGGAGGAGGAGGAGGAGGAGAAGAAAAGAGTGGAGATAGAAAAGTGGGTGGATGGGATTTCCTAGTGGTCCTTTTTCCCATTTACTCACCAGGTTCAAGCCAGCTGAGGTTGCAGGAATTGGGTATGAGTAGCCTAAGAGAAGGAATGATTCCTAATGATTAGTTTTTTTTATTTTATTTTATTATTTTATCATTTTATTTTATTTTTATTTATTTTTATTGTATTGTATTTTATTTTATTTTATTTTTTTTAATTTGATTTATATGCCGCCCTTCTCCGGAGACTCAGGGCGGCTTACAATGCATTAAGCAATAGCCTTCATACTTTTGTATATTTTATACAAAGTCAGCTTATTGCCCCCACAAACTGGGTCCTCATTTCACCTACCTTAGAAAGGATGGAAGGCTGAGTCAACCTTGAGCCTTGGCGAGATTCGAACCAGCAGAAATTGCAGGCAGCTGTGTTAATAACAGGGTGCACTAAACCACTGTACTATCAAGGCTCTATTTTATGTTTATTTATTTATTTAATGTACGTATGTATTTTTATTTTATTAATAGTTTTTATTTTAGATTAATGATTAGGAATGATTCCTAATGAGAAGGACTTGCTGGAGAAGAGCCTAATGCTAGGAATGTTTTGAGGGCAATAGAAGAAGGGGACAGCAGAGAATGAGGTGGCTGGATGGATTGATGACAAACCTGGCCACATACTGCTGCATGCTAAGCCATCATAATCCCAAAGATGCTTTTTTTTTTTTCAAGAGGCAACTGGACTTTCTGATTTTTCTTTGAAGATGCTTCGCTTCTCATCCAAGAAGCTTCTTCAGCTCTGAACTTCTTGGATGAGCAGCGAAACGTCTTCAAAGAAAAACCAGAAAGTCCAGTTGCCTCTTGGAAAAAAAAAATCACCTTTGGGACAACCATGACCTGGATGACTGAGAATCTCCAGAGACATTAAGCCATCATAGATTGTTTTTCTTTGTGTGGTAGAACTCAGCCACTGTTAAACCATGATTGAACAAGTGGCTGGTTTTGCATAAAGACCTGCATCAACAAAAAAGCAGCAGCCTTGTTTCAAAAAGTTGGGTAACAATCAATATGCAAACTTCCCCACAAAGCATTAAATCACCAATTGACCAAACCATTTTAGCTTTGCTAAATTGTGTAATCCAGGCTATATTCTGCAGCAATTCTTCCCAAGCCTGGGATCTTCAATGCATGTTGTAATTAATGTTCACATGTGATAGCAATTCTATTACTGTAAAGAGAATATATGTTCTTGCATTATTATTGTAATATGATGTTTGTTTGAGATTTCCAGTAGGAATTGCCAGTATATTAAACCTTGGTCCATTGATCTATTGTTGATTGTGCTGACAGCTTATAAATTCTTTAGAATTTCAGATACTCTGATCTTTCTCTTTTGGCAACTGACTCATCTGAGAATTCCTACTTGCAATTTCTACTGAGTTTACCTTAAGTTATTGCCTTTCCTCTACTAAAAAGACAGGAGAAAGGATACTGTACTGACATCTGCATCACTATTTTAAGAATAATGGAGGTTATTCTCCTTTATTCCTAAGTGGAATTCAAATATTTATTTCTGACATGTATAAAAAGCAGTTTATATCTGTCAGTAAATACTAACCTTCACCTCTGGGTGGCAGGCAATGTCCAGGTTTCAGAAGGGAAAAACTGGAATGGAATATATTGGGAGAAGAAATTTCAATCTAAAATGAATTACAGCATGGTACATTCTGTAACATTCTAGCGGTAAAACCAACAGGCTGCTTTGGTAAGAGAGCAATCTTGAAACAAATAGTTTAAAAAGCACAGTTGTATTTTTTACAGTAATTTTATTAAAGATAACCATTTACAATAGTACAAATTAATACAAACTGAAGAATAAAAAGAAACAATAGAATATGGATAAAAAATAGAAAAGAAAAATTAAAAGAATGCATAAAGAAGCAACATCCCACCTTCATCACAAGTATAAAGAATTTTAGTAACTTTAGTAATTTACTACCATCTCTTAAAATACAACAAACGATCTCTTCTTCCATATCTTATCTCTTAGCAAATACTTAAAGCCGCCTTGTTCAGTCCTAATGTTAGAAAACATGCTTTTATACCCTTCAGCATTGAGTTGAAATTTCTAGTAAGGGCCATCCCCATATATTAAAATATATTAAAAATATAATCCCCAGCTTTTGCAGCTGGAGAGCTCTAGATCAAGGGTCTCCAACTTTGGCAACTTTAAGCCTGGAGGACTTCAAGTCCCAGAATTCCCCAGCCAGCAAAGCTGCAAAAGACTGCAACTGATTCCCACAAGCCCATGCTTCCTGGGGATTCTGGGAGTTGTAGTTCAACAGTCTGTTGAGGGGCATATTTCAATGTTTAAGAACTATAAACCTCTGAATTGGATACTGAATTGTAGAAAATAGATAATACAGGCAGGATTATGCAGAACGAATAAGAAATGGAAGGGGGCAATAGACAAATTTCTTATTAGGCGGTGGAGAACTACTGCACTTCCGCATTAAAAGGACAGATATGCGCCTGCGCAGATCTCCGCCTCATCACGTGGCCTCGCGTACCTTCTCATCTTCCGGCTCGATCGTCACCGATCTCGCTCAGCAAATCCGCTTCCACTTGGAAGCCCGTCCCCTTTTGGGCGTGACGTTAGAGATCGGCGTGCCGCCGGGCTTCCCCGCCCACTGGGAAGGCGGGGCTGTTTAGCGTCGGGCTGCTTTAGAGCTCGCGGAACGAGGGGAGGACGGTACCATTTTGATGGCTGGAGGGGGGCGACCGTAGCCCTCCCTCGCGTCCGCAGGGCTGACCCACGCCTGGTGAGCACGGGGGCTTTGCATGTTGCTTTCCCGCATTGAGGAACGGGTTTGGCGCGGCTCGTAGCGGACCGTTGGAGGGACCCTGAAATTATACATGGGGCTGGGGTAAAATAAAGGGCTGAGGGTGGGGTGGGGGTGTCCTATTGTCCCCGGGCTTCCTGTGTTGAGTGGGACTGTTAAAAAGGAGTGTGGGAGGGGGGGCATCTCACCTGGGAGGAAGGAATGGTGGGAATTGCCTTGAGAACTCCCCCCCCCCTCAGCCTCATTGGGAAGGCGTGCTGGGCCACCTGCTCCCAGACAGGTCTACCTTGCAGGACTGTTGTAAAGATCACATGAATTGCTCTAAAATTCTAAAATCTCTCTAACTGGGCTGCTGGTGTGAAAGTTGTGCAGCTGTGTAAATTGTAGTGGAATAGACCCTGGGTGGAAAGAGATGGGAGTGGAAGGGGGGGGGGCTCTCTGCCCTCCAAGAAGGAAAGGCAGTGGGGGGCTAAGGAGGCGAGGAGGGAGCAGGAAAGTGGGCGTCTAACCTTGTTTATTTACTACCCTTTGAAAGCATTTTATTTATGCTTTTGTTTCTTTCCCAATGCCCACACAACCACACCAGACACTTTAATGGGAAAGCTGGTTTGCCAAGAAAAAAAAGGGGGCTTCAATCTCAGTTAAGGGTGTATTGATCTGGTGCATATTTCACGTAGACCATTATTATTATTATTATTATTATTATTATTATTATTATTATTATTATTATTATTATTAATCAAATTTCTATACCGCCCTACTCCCGAAGGACTCAGGGCGGTGAACAGCCAAGATAAAATACAGACAATACAAATATTAAAAATCCCTTAAAATTATTAAATATGATTGATTCCTCTTGTCGGCTTGCTGGTTTGCAAAGGGCTGGATGCACAAAGCCCTTGGATTCCGGGTAAAGGAATGCCATTTCGGTTGGCTGTTGCGAAAGGCTTCCTCACATGAGAGCTGTTTGGAGGGCGGAAACCCCAGCGAAGGGTTTTCTTTTTCTTTTTTGTATTTCTTTTGTGGTTCTTGTGTTTTTTTCCCCCCTCCCTTGGGAGTTGGGTGGTGTTACAAATTGAAGAACTTCCATAAACAAATAATAGAGAGTGTCACTTTTCTGCAGGTATTCAGGCAGGGACTGCAAAGGCATCAGTTAAAGAGCCTTTTGCTTGGATTCATTTCCAACTCCCTAATTCCAAATGATAACTACAATTTATTGTTTTTAAAGAGTTGTCAGTTCCATTAACGGTTGTTTAAAGTCTTTTCTTATGTATATACTTTTCAGAGGTTTTTTTGCAGTGGAGGGGGATAGAATGCTAGAGAAGTATAATAAATACAGGTAGTCTTCAACTTACAACCACAATTGAGCCCAAAGTTTCTGTTGCTGAGTGAAACATCGGTGAAGCGAGTTTTGCTCCATTTTACGACTTTTTCTTGCCACAGTTGTTAAGTGAATCACTGCAGTGGTTAATTTAGTAACACGGTTGTTAAATGAAATCTGACTTCCCCATTGACTTTGGTTGGCGCAGAAGGAGATCACATGACCCTGGGACACTGCAACGGTCATAAGTATGAATCGGTTGCCAAGTGCATGGATTTTGATAGTGTAATCATGATGCTGCAATGGTGTGAAAATAACTCTGAAAAACAGTCAAAAGTCACATTTATCAGTGCCATTGTAACTTTGAAGAGTTACTAAACAAACTGTTCTAAATCGAGGATTACCTTTATAATAAAATACTACAGGACCACATCTGTTTCTTCACTGTGCCTGGGGCTTAATCTCAGCTGTTTTTCATCGGTCCTTCTCTCATTAATTCTAGTTCTATTGCCCTCGTCTTCTCTCAAAAACTTTAGATATGCCCATTGTTTTTTGGCAGAGGACTGTGTTCAGAAGACCTAATAGCAATAGCCCTTAGATTTATATACCGCTTCACAATGCTTTACAGCCCTCTCTAAGCGGTTTATAGAGTCAGCCTATGGCCCACAACAATCTGGGTCCTCATTTTACTGTCCTTCGAAGGATGGGAGACTGAATCAACCTTGAGCTGGTCAGAATCGAACTGCTGGCAGTGGGCAGAGTTAGGCTGCAATATTGCATTCTAACCACTGCACCACTGAAGAAGGAAGGAAGGAAGGAAGGAAGGAAGGAAGGAAGGAAGGAAGGAAGGAAAATAGCAATAGCACTTAGACTTATATACCGCTTTACAGCCCTCTCTAAGCGGTTTACAGAGTCAGCCTATGGCCCCCAACAATCTGGGCCCTCCTTATGGTGTTATAATAACTGGGTTTGGGTTTCAGTCTGCTGGATATGTAGTATGAGATGTGTTGTTATGGAACAGTGCATGTTTAAACTTATTCCTGGTTACCCTGAAAATCTGTAGGAATCAAGCTGTGTTGCCCAATTAAATAAAACTTGGGCAATTGTCTTGGTATGGGAATAAGAGATCAAGTGCTGCTTTAACATGGAGAAGGAAATGATTCCTGGAAAGGCTGTTTGCATTTCAGAAAAGGGAAAGTTGTAAGAGAATCCTGCAGTTCCCATTGGAGGCCTAAGGGACTTTCCAGCCCGAAGTCCTAATTATCCATTTCAAGTGGCATGCGTACCATTATACTTCTTCTTATACAGGGAAAGTATGTTGTAGTAGCCTCACATTGCGATTATTCTCATGTGCTTCACGTGGGTCTCAAAGTTTGTCTGGTGTGGAATAAGGCTGTTAATTTGTTGTATATCAGCTGCACTTTTGCTGAGGTAAATGTGCTGGCAATATTCAAAGTTTTGCTTATGATGGACCTCTGGCCACACCATTGAAACTCTGCCTGCTTTTTATGTAGGATGCCTTCACAGTTTCTATCTTGACTTTGTTGACTTTATTTGGGATGAGGATAAATGAAGATCAACCTTCCTGATGCAGACCATCCGGTGAAGGGCTTCTTGGGCATGTCAGGAGCCACAGAGAGATACCTGTGGTTGCTCCTTAGAGAGCTGCTCTGTGTTGTTTCCAATACTATTAATCCTCTTTTTGCAGATATTCATATAACACCTCCGTTCACGACTCTAAGGCACCTGTTGAAGTTTTCTCTTCTATCCAGGCCTTTCAGATGAATAGTTCTGTTTTGCTTTCATCGTTCCATCCCCATCAATTGAATTAGCTATTTTACAACATATGCAATATCGGTCTTTATGACTGTATTTTAATTTTTATTGTAAACTGCTTTGAGGAACAGTCTTGTGGGAAGGAGCTTATGAAATGTGGCGTGCTTTTAAGTAGAGATTTGCTAGGTAAATACATGTATCGCTGTACATCTTTTTGTGTATTTCATTCCTCTCTGATTTTGCTGGTGACTGTCTCTCTACTTTGTGTGGGTCTGTGTGTGTATAGCTCAGTATAACACATTGTGCAACTGTTAAGGAATTGCTTGAGCAGGGGGCTGGACTAGAAGACCTCCAAGGTCCCTTCTACCTCATTCATTTTAAGTCTAAGTGCAAAAGCTACAATCTCTGTTAGTGATGTCACAGCATTCTTTATGGACTGAAAATATTAGGAATGTGTCTTGATTACGGAATACTTTTTAATATGGAATACGTAGGTAAATGAATTCAAACTATCTTTTTAAATATGTAGCAGCTGTAGGGTTATAAGCAAACTGTAGCAAGTTATGGAATGGAGCGACCCATTGATACAAACTGGAGATGGTCCTTTAATTCATAAACATGATTCTTGTATAATTTACAGCCAGATGGGACAGCTGACTACACTTCTCCAAGCTTGGATGATCATGGAAGATTTATGGCCAAAGCTGGAGGATCAAAGGAATGGCCCAATCATTAACTCTACTGAATATTTCAAAATAGATTTCCTTACCGTATTCTCGACTCTAATTTAGTACACTGATATACAGTGGTATCTGAAGAGTCTTAATGGTTCAATAAGATTACAAGCTCGTTTCCCAAATTGTGTAGCAAGTTCTACATCTTGTACTAAATCACGATGTATTGGAAAAAGCCACCGTGTTTGGTTTCACACAATACTAAACAATGAAAATAATTTACAAAATCACAGTGGTTAGGTTTGCTCATCAATTGTTAAGGAAATTAGCAGCAATTGCAGTCAGGGCAAAAGGGAACGATGCCTTATTTTAAATTCTGGAATTGTTAAAAGGTTAGCATTGACAGGTTGTTTCTTGGTGTACCTTTCTGTACGCAGCGTTTTGATGCAAGCTTTTAATACTTTTTTGAACATAAGCAAGCTCAAAGTCAGTTCAAAGGGGAGAAAATCATTAGAAATGACAGAGGAACTTTTGATAAATCATTGATACCTTTCAGAGTGTATTGAATTAGCTTTATTTGTTGCTACAACAATATGGTACTGTATTATCTGCTTTTTCCTGGAAAGGTTTCTTGGTTTCTTTAGCAGAAGAATGGTTAAGTGTGGGAAGGATGCTTCAGTGTTTGGAATGACTTCATATCTTAAAAGCAAACCTAGCTCAGAATTCAGTTCAAACTAGAATCAATTCCTAGAATAGCAGATTTGTACCCCATCAAAAATGTGTGTTTCTTATGCATTCTTATGAGTATGTACACTGCTCAAAAAAATAAAGGGAACACAAGCAGAAGACATCCGAGATCTGAACGAATGAAATAGTCTTATTAAATATTTTGTTCGTTACATACAGTAGTTTTGTGTTCCCTTTAGTTGTTTGAGCAGTGTATAAACTACTGTATGTAAAGAACAAAGTATTTAATAAGGCTATTTCATTCATTCAGATCTCGGATGTCTTCTGCTTGTGTTCCCTTTATTTTTTTGAGAAGTATAGTTTAATTTCCCAAATCTATCAGAAATTTTCACTAATATGGATTAGTTTTATTGAAGACTATAATTTTACTGGTGGTTTATAGTAGGTTGATCATAGTTTTCAATATTCATTCTTAGTTTATAGCAGTGATTTTCAAACTTGGCCACTTTAAGATGTGTGGACTTCAACTTCCAGAAGGCTGGCTGGGGAATTCTGGGTTTAGAGGTTAATAGTGACTTTTTTTTTTACTGTTAACCAATTGGATATGTTCATTTACTTAAAGCTATATTATACTAGAAAATGATAGCCTCTAGATCTAAATCCCCTTGTCCATTCATCTGTATTTTACCTTTTAAAAAACTTTTTTCTTTACCCTTCTTGTCTTCTTTTTATACATTTTCTTTTAACGTTCAATAAAAATACAAAAGGAAACAGGAAAAAAAATGAACGGAGGGAACATTCTTCAGTGTTCAAGTGGTTGAGCTATAATCAGCAGTCCAGAACAAGGTCACATGCCTTTACGTTTGATATAGAAATACTTTTGTTATAGACAGGAAGGATTTTAAACAGGTTATGTTTCTGATCAGGTAACTGTCAGTCTTAGTTCAGCTCCATCTGAGAAATTTAATTTCTGCAGTGGTGGGAAAAAGATTCACTTGGGCAGGCGTTGAAATAACAGGAGAAGTGCAGGAATAAAAATTCAAAATGAGAGGAACGAGAAGGAAGAAAATACAGGTAGTCCTTGACATACAACAGTTCATTTAGTGACCATCCAAAGTTACAACACTGGGAAAAAAAGACTTATCACCATTTTTCACATGACCATCGAAGTACCCCCCCATGGTCATGTGATCAAAATTCAGATGCTTGGCAACTGACTCATAGTTATGACGGTTGCAGTGTCCCAGGATTATGTTTTGTGAGCTTCTGACAAGCAAAGTCAATGGGGAAGCCTGATTCACTTAACAACCGGGTTACTCACTTACCAACTGCAGTGATTCACTTAACTACTGCACCAAGAAAGGTCATAAAATGGGGCAAAACTCACTTAAGAAATGTCTCACTTAGCAGAAATGTTGGGCTCAATTGTGGTCATAAATCGAGGACAATCTATAAATGGGTTCTTTCCTAAAACTCTCGATGGGCTTAAAAAAACCCAGGGGGAATGAAAGGAAGCCTTCTTCCTTAAAGCTACTTTAGCAAAAATACTCTTCTAGAAAAATGTTACAAAATGTAACAGCGAAAATACAGAGGAATATACACGATGCTCACAACTCATTGAAAATCACAGAAAAACTACATCATGGTTTATGGTGAGGTGTTAACATGGTCCCTGCCATTTCAAGTATCCACCACATATTTCAGGATGCAAAAGTACTGTATGTCTCCAGATTCATAAATCAGTGAATTCATGACATGCTTGCTGGAGAAAATTGAGTAAATAGTTCAACTTGTTCTTTACCGTAATTGTGTTTGCAGATAACAGTGGTTTGTTGGGATTTGTTTTACCCTGTGTTTTGCAGATTGGTGAATGTTTCCGCTGTCTTAAGACATTTCCTTCCATCGCTGACTTTCAGATTTTACCCTGCACTTCTGTCTTGGTTATAATTCAAAGGCATTCAAGGTTGGTTGGTTTCGTTCTTGCAGAATTAAGGTTCCCTCCTTAAGCTCTGCGTTTAAATAGCTTGTGCAAATCCTTTGTGGGGATGAGCAGAATGTACCAAAAATGTGTTTTAATTCACATTCTCCAGCTGATTAACAGACTTGGGTTGAATGAGTTGCCATGAAATACACCTTCTTTTCAAGCTACTTAGGAACTGGGGAGGGGAGGAAGAATTGGGGGGAGGTCTAAAAGCTGTGAAAGTCATATAGGGATGCGGTGGCTCAGTGGCTAAGACACTGAGCTTGTCGATCAAAAGGTCGGCAGTTCAGCGGTTCGAATCCCTAGTGCTGCGTAATGGGGTGAGCTCCCGTTACTTGTCCCAGCTTCTGCCAACCTAGCGGTTCGAAAGCACATAAAAAATGCAAGTAGAAAAATAGGGGAAGGTAACAGCGTTCCGTGCGCCTTCGGTATTGAGTCATGCTAGCCACATGATCACGGAGACGCCTTCGGACAGTGCTGGCTCTTCGGCTTTGAAACAGAGATGAGCACCGCCCCCTAGAGTCGGGAACGACTAGCACATATGTGCGAGGGAAACCTTTACCTTTACAAGCCATGAAAGATATACAACCGTAAAAAGCATTTAAAAAGAAAATAAAAATAAAAGAAATCTGTGTTGGATCAGATGGATTTGTTCAAGGTTTCTCTCTCTGTGGAGGTAGGGAGCTAACTAACATTTGCAGGGGGTTAGAAAGCAAGCACTGGAGACATCTAAGGTGTAGTCGGTTTGATTGAATTTTTTTCATTGCAGGCTCCTAAGCTTCAGCAACACAGCTTTAAAACAAAACCGGATTTTTGGAGCTTCAGATGTTCAAAAGAGCATCTCCAAAACAAACCTAAGGAGAACTAAGGAGAAATTTCCTGACACCAAGAACAGTTAATCAATGGAACAGTTTGTCTCCTTGAGTTGAGGGTGCTCCATCACTGGAAGTTTTCAGAAATAGACTAGATAACCATTTGACCAGGATGGTATAAGTTCTTCTGCCTTGAGCAGATGTTCTGCCCCAGCTACAGACCCCAAAGAACGCAACTCTATACAAAGCTTATTTTACTCAAATAACTTAAGTCTTTATCATTCAAAGGCTGTTAATGAACTGTCTTAACAGCCTACCAGAATTCTAAGATAAGGTAATCATAGTCTTACTAGAGTTGGCAGAAAGCCGAGAAACAATTTTGCAGAGAATCCAGACGTGAAGGAGAGTTAACTAAAGTTGTTCTCTACAGCTTATTGCAAGTGGCGTTCCTCCTTAAATAGGCTAAGGGAGTGGCCAATTAGCCCCAAGCCTTACTCTTGAGGAGACCTCCTCCTGAGGAGCCACTCCTGCCTTTTGGCAGCTCTGCGCGCCCGTGCATTGAGAAGAGGCTCCTCCTCTTCTTCCTCTTCACTTAAAGGAGCTTCTGGAGGTTCTGAAGGCCCTGGCTGAATCCCCGCCTCTGGCACCACATCTTCTCCAGCCTCCTCACTGTCTGACTTGAGCGTCAGCTGCACAGGTTGCTCGTGCAGCACCACACCAGCCTCCTCGTTGTCGGAATCGGCTACAATCTGCACAGGCCACTGACGGGCCACAACAACAAGGGGGCTCAATGAGAAAGTCAATCAATCAATCAATCAGAATAGAGTTGGAAGGGACCTTGGAGGTCTTCTAGTCCGACCCCCTGCTCAAGCAGAAAACCCTATACCACTCCAGACAAGTGGCTGTCCAGTCTCTTCTTAAAAACCCCCAGTGATGGAGCACCCACAACTTCTGAAAAAAAAACCATTCCACTGATTAATTGTCCTCCCTGTTAGGAAGTTTCTCCTTAATTCCAGGTTGCTTCTCTCCTTGATTAGTTTCCACCCATTGTTTCTTACCTTGCATTCTGGTGCTTTGGAAAATAAATTGACTTCCCTTCTTCTTCTTTTGACAGCCCCTCAAAATACTAGAATACAAAGACCTCTGGCGTCCCTTTCAGCCCTATGATTCTGTGTTCATTTCTGAATATATAATCATAGACTAATAGGGGTGGAAAGGACCTTGGAAGCCTGCTAGTCTAACCCCTTGGTCAAGGCAGGAGACCTTATGTCATCCTGGACCAAATGTTATCCAGTCCATTCTTGAAAACCCCCTTAAACATCCTGAAAGTTGATGCTGCAAACTCCATGACTCATGGAGCTGTAATCTTGGGGAAATCCATGACATGCAACTCCTGTTATGATGTAGCTCCTCTGAAATGTTAATTTATTTTTAAAGTTTGCATCGTGCCGTCCTGCTTGCAGTTGTGGGAATCAGACTTGGCATGTATCCATGGGCTTCAGTATTTCAGTTTCTGTTACTGCCTCCGTTTTAATTTTGTAGCTAGAAGGAAAAATGTAGGTGGTCTTATAACTTGAGCTATAGAAGGAGAGAACTGTTTCTCAACCTTGAAAACTTTTTAAGGTGGGTGGACTTCAGCTCCCAGAATTCCTTAGCCAGAAATCAGGAGTATGGTCGTACCTTTCTCGACTAACAAATTTGGTTGAAAGGCAGAGCTTTTGTCATGAAAGTTTATGCCTTTTAATAAAACTTGTTACCTGGAAAAAAAAGATTGCCCTCAAACTCTTTGGATTTTTAATTCCACGTTGTTGGGTTAAAGCATAGATCAGAATACTTCCCATTTTAAAACTTCCGCATTTCGTCTCTGCCTGCATCACTTCTAAATATTTCTCACTGCTTTTAAAGCAAAACATTTTGGAGAGCAAGCATAATAGAACGACAGGTTTAGAAAGATTTATCCTGAAGGAGTCTTTTGCTTCTTCTCTGTATCTTCTCCGATGCTGAATTGTTCATCTGAAATGCTTTCTCTGTGTATTTCAGGTCTTCCTTACCTTGGAATTTGTCACGATCATGGGAGAGATTAAAATCTCTCCAGACTATAGCTGGTTCAGGAGTACTGTGCCTCTCAAAAAGGTAGGTGCAGATTAATTTCTCTCTCTGCTCAAATTTAGTTCAGAAGCACTGTTTTATACATTGCAAGCATTGTAAACCTAGATGAGGTATGCTTCCACCGTTAGAATTATAATTATATTGCATATCTTTCAGACAAACAAGATTTGTTATTTGTGTTGATCTTCTGCAGTCTGCTTGAGGGATGCATTTCTCCTCCAGCCTTGTTTTTTGTTGAGTGGCTTCTATATCTATATATCTCTAACTCACTCTCACTCTCCCCCCCCTCTCTGTCTCTGTCTCTGTCTATAACTATCTCTATCTCTATCTATCTATCTATCTATCTATCTATCTATCTATCTATCTATCTATCTCTTTTTATCTATCTTTCTTTCTATATCAGTATCACCTCTCAATACCTCCTTAATATCTACCTCATATCTATTTATCTATCTATCTATCTATCTATCTATCTATCTATCTATCTATCAGATAGATAGATAGATAAATAGATAGATATGAGGTAGATATTAAGGAGGTATTGAGTATGTCTGTCTATCTTTTTCTATCTTTCTTTCTATATCAGTATCACCTCTCAATACCTCCTTAATATCTACATTCTATCTATCTACCTATCTACCGACCGACCTACCTATTGATTAGCCTAAAGGCCATATCAACGTACAGGTTCAAACACATATTACAATAAAACTCTGAACAAACAATTTAAAGTGAGAGTAGGGTAAAATACAATCGTTATAGGCTAAAATACAATAATGTAATACATAAACATGTAAAATAGAATAAAATGACATAAAATTATATTTCTTTATCACCCCTGCAATCTACCCCAATCAGGCCCTCATATGCCGATCTCAGTCGGACTATTTTAGTCAGAAATTGTGCTGTATTAAATGTCGTTTTCAGATTCTGTCCACACGGTACGTTGCTTTAACATGGGCCTCCCACTGGGCATACGTTTCATATGTGAATCAAAATACTTATCTGTCACTCTCTTATATATACAGCAATCGAATAATATATGAGTCAGATCTTGTACCTCTTCAATTCCACTGATACATGTATGTTCATTGTTTGGGATAGAATGGAATCTCCCAAATCTAACTGTTGTATCAAGCTATTCAAATCTTGCTCGGGTAAATGCCTCCCTGAGATGTTTTGGCAATTGTGATTTTAAATAGTTGTGCAGAGAAATTCACAACTGCTAGCTGTATCGTTTAATGGCTGGCTTTGGAGAGAACTGTGCCACTTAGACGTTGTTGTGACCTAGGCCCATGTACTTATTACCAGACACAATCAGTCTTTTATCTTCTTTGGCACCCTGCCAAAGGCTTTTCTTGGCAAAGCCCCACGAAGTTCAGAAACAAGAGACGCCGACAAGAAACAAATGCAGCAACGTTGCTTTCCTACAAAGAGCCCAAGAGCCTTTGCTGCTCTTTTAAGCCTTCTCGGAGGGACCAATCATCTCCTGGCCTTACTCCCGAGTCGTCCTTTTTGCTTTAGCTGCTCTTGCCTTCTGGCAGCTCTTCTCATGTGTGCACTAGGAACAGGCTCCTCCTGTTCCTTTACCTCTCTGCTATCCACCTCTGGAGGCTCTGGAGTCTGCGCATTGCTCCCAGATGGCCCTGGCCCCCATCTCTGCCTTTGATGCAGAGCCCTCATCCGGGCCTTCCCCAGACTCCAGAATGGGCTCATTGTCCTTCCCAGCCTCCTCATGTCCGACTCTGCAGGCTTCTAGTGGACCACAACAGACGTTTTGCCTAACTCCCATGTAACACCGCTCCTGCGCGAGCTGCACTGGCTCCTGGTGGTCTTCCAGGTGCGCTTCAAGGTGCTGGTTATCACCTTTAAAGCGCTCCATGGCATCGGGCCTAGCTATCTTCAAGACCCCCTGCTGCTACCGACGACCTCCCATCGACCCGTGCGCTCCCACAGAGAGGGGCTCCTCGGGGTGCCATTAGCCAAACAGTGCAGGCTGGTGACCCCCAGGGGGAGGGCCTTCTCTGTGGGGGCTCCCACCCTCTGGAATCAGTTGCCCCCAGAGATAAGGAGAATCCAAGACCTCAGCGCCTTCTGCCGTGCCCTTAAAACCCATCTTTTCAAGCAAGCCGGGCTGGCTTAAGAAGAAATTTTTAAATGTTTTAAAAGTTTTAATTGGTAGTGAGTTTTAATTGGGCCAAATTTATATATCTTTTAATTGTTTTTTAATATTTGTACTGCATGTTTTTTTAATTCTGGCTGTACACCGCCCTGAGTCCTCAGGGAGAAGGGCGGTATAGAAATTCAATAATAAATAAATAAATAAATAAACAAACAAACAAACAAACAAACAAACAAACAAATAAATAAATAACATTTAAGTAGTTTTCTGGGCTAGAAAAAAAAACCCTAAAAGGCATGATAAAAAGTTTTGTGCAATCTAGTATCGGCCCATTTGCACGGATAAATATGTGTCACCTTTTAGAACTCGCACTTAGAGAGACATGCAGGAAAGAGGAATAAACTGCGCAGCAGTTTTTTTGCAGTTTGGTGTTTCGATGGTGAGTTTAACCTCCCTCTCGCTTCACAAGAAGCCTTTGTTCCTTTACAAAATCCTTAACTTCCTCCTGATTCAGTTGTTCTTCAACCTGAATGGCAACAGGGCAATTAAATAAAAGGATCAGAGCCATTTAAAAGCACGTGGCCAACTGCTTCAGAGTGCTTTATTAAAAAAAAAAAAAGAAAGAAGAAGAAGCAAGCAATCAAGGCTGTTTGTTTTTCAGAATTTCAGAATTTCTCGGATATTAGGTCTTCAGTGCTTTTGCCTTTTATTTATTTATTTATTTATTTATTTATTTATTTATTTATTTATTTATTTATTTATTTATTTATTTATTTATTTATTTATTGGTTCGATTTATATGCCGCCCTTCTCCGGAGACTCAGGGCGACTTACAATGCGTTAAGCAATAGCCTTCATCCTTTTGTATATACCTGTTTAGTAGGGCTTTCGCCCCCCCCCAAGCGGTGTTCTTTTTATACAAAGTCACCTTATTGTCCCACAAACCGGGTCCTCGTTTTACCTACCTCGAAAGGATTGGAAGGCTGAGTCAACCTTGAGCCTGGTGAGATTTGAACTTGCACTAATTGCAGGCAGCTGGTGTTACTTAACAGTGCTTTAGTCTGCTGCGCCACCAAGGCTCTTGAGTTTTGAGTTTCCCGTGTGGTTTATCCAGGCTAATGAACTTCCGGTTACCCCTTCTGTGTCATGCTGTAGAAACGCCATATGAGAACTGAGAGAGAGAGAGAGACTGACAGAAGTCAAAGTACATCTGGGTCTCTAGAATTTAGACCTGACTGACAGCCTTCTGATGACTCTTAATTTTTGTTTTTAAGGTGGTTAATTCACATGCAATGTGTGGAAAACCTTGTAGCCTTTCCTTGCCTCTGACGGCCTGCCAAAATGTGAACCTGATGCTTTTTAGAACACACCAAATGTTCTACCTCTGAATTACAGCATATGACAAATGGGTGGTTTTATAGGACAGAGTGAGCTCTCACCCTTGGAAATGTGGATAAGAACTCTTGTATGTTTCAGAGAAGGGGCACGGTGTCCTAGCGGTTAAGATGCTGGGCTTAACCGGAATGTTGATAGTTTGAGTTCCGAGTACTGTGCAATGGAGTGAGCTCCCGTTCCTTGCTCCAGCTCCTGCCCACCTAGCAGTTCGAAAGCACGCAACTGCAAGTAGATAAATAGGTACCACTTTGGTGGGAAGGTAACAGCATTCTATGCGCCTTTAGGGTATAGCCATGCTGGCTACAAGAGCCAGAGAAGTGTCTTCGGACAAGATTGGATCCCTCGGCTAAGAATTGGAGATGAGCACTGACCCCTAGAATCAGACACAACTGGACAGGGGAAATATTTACCTTTTATGTTTCAAAGAGACCACCGAAGTCTCATGTAGGTTTACATCAGAGAAGCGAAGCTTTGTGGTTGACCTACCTGGTAGGAAGAGGCTCCTACCCGGGGGTGGTGATGCTGAATTGGTGGAACAGTTTCATGTGGGTGGATCAAGCAAGAATTTAATTTCTTTCCTGTTTTTTCTGTAAAAGGGAATTTCTTTTTAGCTCATGTTACGCTTTCTGAATCACTGTCTTCTTGTCACTGGCACTGGCAGGAAATTGAAAGTCGGAGTGCAGTTGGCAGAGACTTTAGTGGCCACAAAAGGAATCAGGAGGCGTTTGCAGGGGAGATATAGCAATAGCACTTAGACTTATATACCGCTTCACAGTGCTTCACAGCTCTCCCCAAGTGGTTTACAGAGTCAGCATATTGTCCCCAACAACAGTTTGGGTCCTCATTTTACCGACCTGGGAAGGATGGAAGTCTGAGTCAACCTTGAGCCGGTGAGAATCGAACTGCTGAAAACAGGCAGACAGCAGAAGTAGCCTGCAGTACTGTATTCTAACCACCACACCACCACAGCTCATCTATATACATATAGATCTAAAAATAATTGCACGTACATAGAAAAATAAAGGTAAAGGTTTCCCTTGCACATATGTGCTAGTCGTTCCCGTCTCTAGGGGGCGGTGCTCATCTTCATTTCTAAGCCAAAGAGCCAGTGCTGTCCGAAGATGTCTCCCTGGTCCTGTGGTTGATATGACTAAACGACAAAGGCGCACGGAATGCTGTTACCTTCCACCAAAGATGGTCCCTATTTTTCTACTTGCATTTTTTACGTGCTTTCGAACTGCTAGGTTGGCTGGGACAAGTAATGGGAGCTCACTCCGTTAAGCGGCACTAGAGATTTGAACTGCTGAACTGTGGACCTTTTGATCGACAAGCTCAGCGTCTTAGCCACTGAGCCACTGCGTCCCTTACATAGAAAAATATTCCCTGCCAAAGTATCATACTCTGGTACTTTGGTATTCAACTACTTTGAAACTCATCGAATTTGGTACTCAACACATTTTGATGCAGTTTGTTTGAGCCACAGTGGCACAGTGGTTAGAGTGCAGTA